GCCAACCCCAAACAAATATTAAGATATTAAGATAAAGAATGAATTGTTAAACTTTAAAAAATAAAAGAGAACAAACAGCAATAATTAGAAACACACATACAAACATACAACGTATTTTCTTTGAACAGAGTATTTGGCCGGTTCACAAATTTAAACAGTTGTAGGAGGTTAGCACCCACCCCTTTCCTAGAAGAATGAAATATTTTGGGAAATATTAAAAAGGCAGAATATTATATTTCTCTGATGAGAAATGGAGGAGCATATTTTACAGACAAAGCAGCTCCCACCTTCCTGTCCCCCACCCTTTGTTAATGGGCCAGAGGCAGAAAGTCAATCCTTTGTCAAAGAACATTTGCAACACAATAGCAACGGAAACTAACACAATGGGCCCCATCAAGCCATGTGATCCTGTCCACCATTAAACCATCTTTCCAAGCAGTCTCCATGTTTCCAGTGTCTTTTTCCCCACTTGGAGCAGAACCCAGAAGGATATTTCTCCCAACACAGTATTTAGTCATTTCAATTAAATTTACAATTTCTATATTTCCTTTTTACCATATTTATTCCTCATCTATTTTTAAAAAAAACCATATTACCCTTCATCCTTATCTCTAATCTTAATCAAATTCAATTTTTCCCTTCTATTCTATATTATACCCCTTCGCATTGTCATCTATTTTTATATCCATCCTCACATTGGTTAATTATGTAATACAGTTGTTTAATACAAATTCAACATTTTAATATAAATCAATTAGTTATATAACTATCTTTTTTGTATATTAATCAATATGAACATGAATATTCCAATTATTTCCATGCAATCCAATTTCTTACAAATCAATTAATTATATTTACCAATAATAATAAACCAAATAATTTCCCCCATATATTCCTCCAAACCACAACTTAACCATTTCTGCTTTCAACACAATATACAATTAATAATATCTCAATTATTACAATTCCCTAGTTAAATAGAGCTTTTTTTCTTTTGTGTTTTAAAATCTTGAACCTCCTCTTGCCCTAAATTTTCCATCTTTTGCAGTTTTGCACCTACCTTTTTTTGTAAGGAAAAAGAAAAAGAAATCTCTCTGCCTCATTTTGTCACGTTGCAGCAAAGACCCTTCTTTACTTTCAATTTCGTTTTTTAGCATAGCTAGGGGGAAAAAAATTTGCTCCAGGAATTTACCTCTTTGCAGCTAGCTCTTTGAAGCCCCGCGGCAAGAATTTAAAGTTTTTTTTCCCTCTAGCCATCAGCTGGGACTCAGGAGGCAGCAATAGATTGGGAGTGGGCGGGGTAAACGAACGGTGACCGGGCGATCCAACAAAGGCAGAGGGTGAGGGTGAGTGAAGGCGTGGGGGTGGGGCGAGAGAGGGCTTTGGCGACCCCTGTGAAATGGCCGTTTGACCCCCAAAGGGGTCACGACCCCCAGGTTGAGAACCACTGGTATAGGGTCTCCTGCTTGAGTAGGAGGTTGGACTAGAAGACCCTCTAAGGCAGTGGTTCTCAACTTTCCTAATGCCGCGACCCTTTAATACAGTTCCTCATGTTGTGGTGACCCCCAACCATAAAATTATTCCTAAGACCATTGAAAATATGTGTTTTCCGATGGTCTTAGGCGACCCCTGTGAAAGGGCAGTTCAACCCCCAAAGGGGTCGCGACCCAGAGGTTGAGAACCACTGCTCTAAGGTCTCTTCCAACTCTGTTATTCTGATATTCTGAAATAATAAATTCATCCTTCCACGCTAATGCAAGTAATTTCATGGCAGTCCTTCCATGAAGTTCAGTTTTCCTTGCTTTTTAACATTTATATAAAGCTGTTGGCTAAGATCATCGTGCAGTTTGGGGTATGATATCATTACATTGATGGTACTCAGTTGTACAGTTCCTAGTTTATAAAGGTGATGCTACTGATGATGCCTGGAGGCTGTAATGCAAAAAACAAAACAAAACAAAACAAAAAAACTCCAGGATGAAATTATACTAAAATGGTGTTCCTGTTGCTTATCCATTGGTGTTCTCTGTTGCTGCCAAGATAGCTCCTTGACAGGTGGGCACAACCTGTGAAGGAGTATATCTACAATTTAGGGTGCTTCGGGATTCATGGCTTCTGCTTGATCAGCAGATTAAGAGTATGGCCTGTTTTTGCCTAGCTATGGCTGGTATGCTAATTGCAACCATACCTGAGGCAAGAGGACATGCCTTCATCACCATTTGTCTTAACTACTTCAATGTGATTTAGATGTGGCTGCCCTAAACAACTACTCAGAAGCCCATGTCCTTACTGATGCTCTTTATTGGGAGTATATGACACCCATTTTGTGGTCTCGGCACTGATTCTTGAATAGCTTCTGGGTACAATTTAATGTACTATTGACTTCTAAAATTATTTTTGGTTTGGCATCTAGATACCTTCAGGACTGACTGCTTCCACCAGTATTGGTCCAATCGCTTTGAAGAAGCTGTGAGAACTAATTGTAATCCCACATTTCTGAGTGATTCAGGGGTTGAGGCTTGAGTTGCATTGATGCCATGAAAGTTATATTTCCTCAATAAGTTACTGTCAGCAAAACACTGAAAACATGAGATGCTACCCAAAACATTTATGTATAATTATGGCTCTGAAGAGCTGGAAGTGAGAAAACAAGAGTGCAGAGAATAGTACAATATTTTTCAATTTTTTAAATAAATACATTTTCTAATAGCAGTGACAATGTGACATCATGTAATAATAAGGCTGGAGTTTTTCTTACCCTTTGGTACTGAGGTGTGGTTTTAAAAATAAGAGAATTATCAGGCTTTTAGAATGACTTAATGTATCCATTTTCCTGTCCCAAATCAGCAATCAATTGTTTATTGCTGAATGAGTGGTTTTGGGGAGACAACATCCCATTTATTCTTGAGATACAAACTGGACCCCTTTCAGTCAGGGCTCAGACCTGATATGGGACCAACATAGCATTAATTCCACTCTTGGATAACTTTCAATGTAGATGGTATCCTTCCTTTGTTCCTTCTTGGCCTTTCAGCAGCTTGCAATACCATTGATTCTGTACTGTATATCCTTCTCCTTTCTCCAGGCTGATTTCAGTCCATGTCGATGAGAAGAGAGCGCCAGCACATGGCATCTACTTTGTGGGATACTACCGGATTGGTTCTTTCATTCTTCCTGCTTAACATTTACATGAAGTTGCTGGTTGACACAATCCAATAGTTGGACATAAGGTATCACTAGTAGGTTGATGATACTCAGCTTTATATTTCACCCCTGAATCACATAAGTGATGCTATTAATGTCCTACCCATGTTCCTGAGGACTATGGGGCCTGGATGAGGCACAATACAGTCCACCCAAGCAAGGCACAATACACTCTACCCAAGAAAGTCTGTATAGCTTTGGGTTTTTCAGCCTTGTGGTGCCAGGTTTCTTACATTTTTGGTTCTGAATGAAGTGACACTGCCTTCATTCTAGGCAGACCCACTGTGGAATCTGGGAGTTCTCTTGGATTCACAGCTCCTGCTCAAAGAGGAAGACGACTTTTGAGCAGGAGCTATGCACCTTTCAGGTTCTGCACCTGTTCCTGGACCAGGAAGCCCTACTTCCTATCATTCATGCCCCCGTGACATCGCATCTGGACTACATCTCATCTGGCAATGCACTCTACATGAGGTTGCTCTTGAAGAACATTTGGAAGTTTCACAATATGACAGAACAGTTAAGTGCGGCTACTTGATGCATGCAACACCACTACATTACTTGCAACTGTGCTTTTGGAGACAGTTAATGGTGCTGGTTGTCACCTTTAAAGTGTAATGGTATGTGGCAGCAACACTACTTTATGCACAAAAATGGAAGGTCACCTCGATCCCCACAATGGATGAATTGCTTCAAAAATTGATGGAGATGGCTATATTAACTGTTTTGATGAAAGAAAAAAAAATACAAATATTTTTATTTTTACTTGGAAACTGCTTCTCGACTTTGTGCTTGACGTGGGAAAAAAATGAAACTTTGATTTTGGGTTTTACTGATTAGATTTGTTGTTATACCGTAGAACTGGCTAGTTTATACTATTATGTAAAAGTAAAAAGTGGAGGTTTGATGTTAATGCCTTATTCTATTGCATTAAAGGGAATCAGAAGTCAATGTTTTTTCTTCTTTTTCTCCTTTTCTTTCCCTCACTTTTCCCTTCCCTATTTTCCCTACTACTGGTATTTACTTTTATATTTTCTTTGTATGCTACATTATAAACTAATAAAAATGTTTTAAGAAAAGTGTAAAGGTATGTGGGAAAGATCTTAGAAGCTTGAAGAGAAGTTAACAAGTGAACAGTCGGATTTCTTTGAATGAGTAGTTAATTGACTCTGGAAATAATCTATGTTATTCAGGAATAATATTGGGACAACACTCTAATTGCAGAATCTTTGGATCAGACTTTTGAAACAGAAGATTCAAAATTAGATGTACTAAACATAGCAACAGAGTTAGACAAGGCAGTAATTTAACATTTTCACCCCCCCTCCCCCCCCAAAAAGATACTACTGCTGTTCATTCTGTGACTAAAGAATCAGGAGAGAGAGTATACTGAATGTAATACAGTTGGTTAAAACTACTCAAGAGTATCACACAAAGCAAAACAAGGCAATTACAATTATTAATGTAATCAGATTTACTGTGTGATGTTCCTTTACAATAAATATATATTCTTTTATCACACTACAGAAATTATTGTCAATGTTAAGATTAGATTCTCCTTGCTGGGCAATTATTTCAGTACAACTATGATTTTAAAAGTGACCTGTGACTTAAAAGAAAGAACATAAAAATTCATTCTGAGGCAGTAGCATATTTTTACAGTTATATGGAGAAGTATGTTTCTAAAACAAGAGTGACAAATGAATTCTAAGACCTGGACAATGGAACAAATTATAATATTTACCGAATACAAAATGCAACAGTTAAAATCATATTATTACAAACATGTATTATGAAAAAAAATTCTCTCTCAGATGTGGAGATTACAGAAAGAATAAGGTACTGTTATTGCATTTAAAATATAGCAGTAAATCAAAATGTATTTAATGGTTAACAGTGGATTTATTTTATAACTGAAATACTTGTAAAATATTTGATCTTTTAACAATTAATTTCAAAATCATTTAAGATATTTCCAAAGTGGAAAATATATAGTCCATATTACAGAAAAAAAATAGAGTCAGGAAAGAAATGTTAGGATGACATAGTATTTTTATATTTTTTATGGAATCCAGAGAGGTTTTAGTAGCATTTTCTATAATTTTAATAAACTATAACTTTAAATGTAATCATTTAAAATTGAAAAGTTTTTATTAAAGCAAACAATCATTTTCAGCAATTGCTCATAGTAATAGAAAGACATGCCCCCATAAAAAGAGATTATTAACAAATGACCTTTTTTAGAACAAAAAATTCATTTGTTATATGAAATTCATTTCACAAGAAACAAACGTAATCTTTAAGATCGAGTGATGCTTTTGCCTTAGCTGAAAGCAGATGGTTTCGAAATTATTTTCATGGATTACACATTTTCACTGTTGAATTGGTTCAGGATCGGTGAACTATTCTCACCACCTCATTCATTAAGCTCCATTTCATCCATTTCTCCTTCATTTTGTATATAAGATCAGCTATTTTCTTCACAATTAACACAAAGCTTTAAAAGAAAAAGTGAATCATAACTTTTAATCAACTGGAATCTTCACTTTAATATTTTTATTAATATTCTTAGAAATATTTGATTGTGCCCATAGTGTGCATTAAAACAATAGGCTGGAGTAACCTGAATTGAACACATCAAAATTAAATTCTACTGTTAGTCTCCTTCTGATTGGACCATTGCAACATAATCTATACACAGGTACCCTTGAAGGGCATTTGAAACTTTAGCTAGTCAAGAATGTGGTAGCAGGAACAGTTTTAGATGCAGGGGTGAAATGCTCCCTACTCGGGCAAGTAGGAAGCCCGAGATTGGTAGATTGAGGCTAGTTCGCCGAACCGGGAGCAATGGCTGGCTGGCCACACCCCCAAACTGGTCCACAGCCCGCAGTCCTGCCATGCTTGCCTTCCTTCCAAGCAGAAGTCCACATGGAAGGCAGGCAAGCATGGCAAGGCTGCGGGAAGGAGCTAGCAGCTTACTGCCCCCCGCCAAGCAGCGGCTTCCATCTCTGGGGTTTGTGTGTGTGTGTGTGTGTGTGTGAGGGAGGGAGGAAGGGAACGATCTGAAGCTGAGGCACCCAAACTTCTGGCAGCGGCGCGGGCGGCTTCTGAGCAGCCCTGAGTCAGCCAGCTCCACCTGACCTACTCCCTGAGTCTCGCCGTTCTCCTCAACCCCCCACCCCACTCAAGCAGCAGCAGGTACTGCGGGACAACAGGACCTCTCATTTTTCCCACAGCATGGCATACGCTTGCTACTTCTGCTTGCCTGTTTGCAAGCGATGATCTTCTCTGCTTCTCTTGGGATGCTGGTGCGGGTACTATGGATGCATAGCTTGTTGGGGCTAAGCAGGGAAACTGCTTCTTGAGTAGGGTGGGGATGGGGACGAGGAGAACGGCAAGACTCAGGGAGTAGGTCAGGTGGAGCTGGCTGCTCAGAAGCTGCCCCTGCCGCTGCCAGAAGTTTAGGGGGCCTCAGCTTCAGATCACTCCCTCCCTCCCTCCCTCCCACCCGCTCACCCACCCATCCACACACACACAAACAGAGGTCGGAAAGCTGTCTTGCTTGCTTTCTCTCCAAGCGCTCCATGTAGAGCAGAGTGACGTGAATGACGTCAAACTGGCCACGCCCACCCAGTCACATGACCACCAAGCCACGCCACACCAAGCCATGCCCACAGAACTGGTAGCAAAAAAATTTAGATTTCACCCCTGTTTAGGTACACCATGGTATGGCCACATAACACCATTGTGATGGGAGCTTTGTTGCTTCCCAACAGTTCAATGTACAGTTCAAGGAAGGAGCTGGTCATCTGCATGGTATTTGGTCAGATTACATGTAGCATTACCTCCCCCCAAGGGTTTATGGCTGTCCAACATGATCGGACAAAGAGGGCAAATAGCAGGTCTCCTCAGTAAGGGGGAGTCACCTACTGAATCCTAGGAAGTGGGCTTTCTCTGTTATGGCACCTGCCCCATGGAACAGCATCCCCCAGAGTTATAGGTAATCCCAGCCTTACAAGATTTTTGGAAGGCTGTGAAGAACTGGCTCTTCTCTCAGGCATTGGGAGATGTTGATAATTTGGGAACTAGCATGGATGTATGCCAACAGTATAAGTGTTTTGTGTTTTTAATGAGAGAGGTTCAACCTGGCTTTTTTTTTTTTTTTTTACTATTACTGATGTTTTTTTATGGTATGTTTCATGCCGAGAATTTCATTGGTTAGACGGGTGGTCTTACAGATTTACAGAGAAGTAAATGTGATATATTAAAATGTTTTGATACTAGTGTGACCTACATATCTTTATTATTATGCCAGCCACAAATAAAATAATTTTTATATTTAAAATTTAAAAAAAATCTCTAAAACATACCGAATTTGCAAGAGCCTGAGGGAGTTCACCTTTATGAATCCATGGATGAACTTCAAGTAACTCCCTTTTTTGGTCCTCCGTAAATACTGGCTGAAACATCTGCATTTGTTTCAGTTTCAATTTGTCATCTCTCAAAACAGTTTCCAATTTTCTAACATAAGCAAATATAGTATAAAGAGTTTCATTTTAGCCTTGAAATAGCCAAAATGTATAAACGTTAAAAATAATCACAGGCAAAATGTTACAAAAACAATTTAATTTTGGACTATACATTTTACTATTTGATGTATACATTCAAAATTGAGTCTTACATTACCTATTATCAAGATTCATGTGAATGTTCACTATTTGGGAGAGAAGGGAATTCTATATTCTGCTGATGTAATGATGACAAAATAGGAACTGTGCACAAAACAGGATATAATCAATTGTTAAGAAATTCTCTATTTTCCTGATCTCTGAATGACTCCTGTTGCGTGGTAGATAAGATTTCACATCAAACTTTCTAACATATAGACCCAATTACTGCCAGTGCAAATTATTTATTTTTTTAGGATAGTGATAGACTGAAACAATTGCTTCTGTTTAGATGGCACAAAGAAAAAATGCAGTTAAGAACGTTGTTGTTGGCTTATACAAGAGAGCAGAATATGAATATATAAAGCTCTCTTGTGCCTAATTCTAAGTTCCACATGTAATTCTAATGGTAGAAAAACCACTAAATCATAAAGAAGTAAGCTAAAAGTTTTTTTCTTTACAATTACTGATAAAATCCCCAGAGCCATCCAATTAGGTTTCCATGGATGTTGCTATTATGGCTGTGGATCAAACCCTTATACCTTATTTTTAGATTATTAGGTAGATCTGCATGTCCTTTTTTTCAAAAGAAATAAAGAAAATGTCAAATGTCATATCTCTGTTGCTTGAGCATTCAATATCACTAGTGCAAGAGAAAGTTAGAACAAGAGATATTGCTCATATAAAATGAACCAGAGGCAATTTGATTTCTCTTACTATGAACACCTATTCTAAATACTGATGAACAGAGAAATGGATATTTTTAAATATGCAACAGATAACATAAGACTAGATGGGATAATACTGTAGAATTTCAAAGAATAGCTAACAGAATGAAATATGTTACAAAGAAATGCAAAGTTATTTGCCTGGGGGGGAAAAGGTTCAAACAAGAGGAATACCTGGCTTGGTACTACTGTATATGTGACAAAAAATATTACAATTGTGGCTGATCATAAGCTGAATGTGTAGATACTAAAAAAGGGAAATGTAATTTTAACTGCATCAATTAAAGGTAACAATTATAATACTTAATTCTATATTGTAATTAAAAACTCTATTTTTATGTGAAGTTAGTCACGTAGATAGTTGACAACTTTCCAGTCCTGCTAAATGAGACTTCTACTATATTATATATTAGTTGAGTTCTCATGATACCTCATGTACCTTAGGAACAATCTCAAAGAAGACTATTCTAAAGAGCCATTTGGAAGAACTGGGTATTATATTTTTAGCATTAAGTAAAAGGTAACTGAAGGGAGAAATATTTAAAAGTTTTTACACAGATATTGCAAAGGTCAAGTCATGTTCTCCGTCATCCTGGAGTACAGGACACAATATGATGATTTTAACTTGCAGGAATGCAAATTCTGACTGAATGTTACCAAATAATTCTTAACAGGCAAACAAAATTGACAGTGGAATTAATTACTGAAGGAATGGTGAGCTCTTCTTCACTGAATGTATTTCAAGGGAAGCTAAACAATTGTTTATTAAAAATTCTTAATTTGGATTTAGTGGTCTAAATTGCTTCTTCCAACACAATAATTCTACAAATCAGTGAAAGATGGTGCTGGTCCTCTGCCCACAAACGTAAAACTTGGTTTAAGAACATTAAACCAATGGTGACTATGGGGGCCAAGTATGGACAAGGGGGTCATTCTGGCAAAAGTAGCAAGAGCCTGTAGATGCCACTGAAGTAAATATACATTTTCACATGAACAACAGACAATGGTTTATAGAAATCAGAAATGTTATTACTTAGTTTAGATATTATGCAACTTCAATCAAAATTAAAACTAAATTACCGTAATGGAATCTGGTAAGTCATCATAACGGTATCATCTGTATTTGCCATCAAGAGCCAAAGAGGATCCTGGAGGACACTTTTAACATACTGTACATCTTCCATTTGTGAACATTTTGTTTTAGGATTATTTTCTGAGGAATTAATATTTCCAATATACTTGCTAATATGACTTGTCTCACTACATCCTACAGAAGGGAAAAACAACACTTTCATTCATAAAACCTGATTCTTCCCCCTCCCATTTAACTGCTTCCAGAATACCGGCACATGCCACATTACCTGCTCCACAGATTGACATATCACATCCATGTGATCCAGAATCTAAAGACTCAGCAGCTGCTAAAGCAAAACTTCCTGATGAAACAGATCCAGTGACTGAATTTGTGTCTTCTTGAAGTAAATCAAGTAGGTCAATAGATAAAGAAAAATCATCACTATTCTGAACTTCCACTGGCGTGTTAACCTTAACAAACAAAAATAAAACAATATCCCTTTAAATAATTAAGGAAGAAATTTTAGTTTTCAATAAATGGATTGGGATTATGCTCATTATATAAGGTTCACATAGCAATTATATTAGTGGAAGAGAGATATTTTGCCTTAAAAAAAAGACAACCATTACAGCTATGGACAAAAAGTAAAGTTTAGTTAGGAATTTATTCTAAATCATAATAATGTACATTCCATACTTTGTACAGTATGGGCTGTCTTTTGCTGGAAGTCTTTAAGAGAGACCATGCAACAACCTGTGCTATTGTCTATGGAGATTCTCAGATTGAAAAAGTTTCTTGGATAAGAAGCAAAATGTTTTCTAGGGGGAAAAATCCAAGAAAGTCCAGTTGCCTTTTGAAAAGCACCTTTGGGACAATCTGTGCTATTGCTCTAGATTTTTTACAATAAGCAGAGACTTGGGCTACATGATATATAAAGTCCCTTGAAATATGTAATTGCCTGCAATAGAGGCTCTACAAACAAATAAGAATAGTTAGCTTTATTGTGTAAACATACTGAAAGCTGTTCATATTTTCTAGTATGAAGATTCCCAATTTTAACAAAAAATAATGCAATACAGTAGCTTTTACACCAGAGTTTGTGCTTTAATTATATACCTTTAAAGCAATTAGTTCTTAAAGAAAATATGAAACTGTAGATACTATGCACTATAGGTAGTCCTTTCCTTACAATCATTTGTTTAGTGATCTTTCAAAGTTACAGAAACGCTGAAAAAAATGACTTATATCCATTTTTCAAACTTATGACTGTTGCAGCATCCCCATAGTCATATGATAAAAATTTGGATGTTTGGCAACTGGCATGTATTTGTGAAGGGTCTTGGGGTCATGTAAACACCTTTTGTGACCTTCTGACAAGCAGAGTAAATGAGTAAACCAGATTCACTTAACTATGTTACTAAATTTAACAACTGCAGTAATTGACTTAACAACTGTGGCAAGAAATGCCATAAAATGAAGCAAAATTCACTTGCGTTGCTTAGCAACATAAATTTTGGGCTCAATTGTGGTTGTAAGTCAAGTAATAGCTATATTAAATAAATGTAGACAATTTTTAAAGAATTTTTCACATGCATAATAAATAGGTAAATATGTGTAATGCTTACGACACATGATGCTTTTCTTTTATCATTGCTGCTTAATTGTTTATTTGTAATCTCTCCATCAGTTAAAGTCCCATTATTTCCCTCTATAGCAGCACTTCCACTTGTTAATATTTTTTGCATTTCTTCTAATTGCAGAAGATTCAACTGTAAAGGAGAACTGCATCGTGACTGGAACAATGTTGATGAGGACTGATCTTGTAGACCCAAGGATTCCGGTGTACAGGAACGGGACAGCTTATTTTGGCATTCTACAACAGGGTTCTTTTCACCATTTGCTAAAGAATTATAACAAAATGGTTGTGCTGAAAAATCTACCTCAGGAAGGAATTTGTTTGAGGCAGCAAATGAAGGAAGTGCTGTAAGCAAAGTTTCTGAAGAGAAAGAAGGCTGAACAGAAAAACTAGATGGCTCAAGACAAGATGTCTGAGGAATACTATTGTTTGACTGAGGACATACAGGATTAGGGAGAACAAGTGCTACTACTGGAGTCATTAAGGGTGGAACAAACTCAGTTAATGGCAGAGGACAATGTTTTTTGAAATCCTGTGTTTCATTAAAATAAGATGGGGAAACTTCAGGTCCCGCTGGTGTGATTCCTGCAGATGGAAAAATGGTGGGCATAATTGTTGAAACTGGCACAGTTGGATAACTTGCTTGTGAGTTATTTGATGGATTTGGGCTAAGCAGAAGAAATTTATGCAAGGGTTTGGTACCAGATATTTTATTGTCTGAAGAATCATGTTGCTTGTGTCGTTTTTGTTTAGATTTTTTGATTCTCCCAATTTTCTTCCAAGATAAAGCTATTTCAGAACCATGGTGTAATCCATACATATCTAGAAAGAGAAGGCATTTAATTGTGTCTGAACATCTGTTTTGACTCTATTATTTTTTAAAATTATTTCTATCCAGCCAGTCTTTTCATATACAACTCAAAGGAACAAGCATACCAATACTCCTTCCTTCTCCTATTTTCCCCACAACAAGAACCTTATGAGTTGAGTTGGGCTGAGACAAAGTGACACACCTAGCCAGTTTTTTTATGCCTAAAGTGGGACTAGAACTCACAATCTTGATTTTTAGATCACAACAAATTGTCTCTTCCTAAAACAGCAGCCCCCAACCTTTTCAGTGCCATGGACCAGTTCCATGGAGAGAGCTTTTTCTGCGGACCAGGGAGGCGTGGTTTCACATGTTGCCTGATCCTGCACATGTGCAGATGGGGCTTTGCTCGTTTGTGTGGCCCAGTTTCTGGTGCACGTGGACTGGTGCCAGCCCATGGCCCAGGGGTTGGGGACTCCTGTCTTAGAAGACACACCTTTTGACTTGAAGACTCTCTATTAGTTGCAGAAGTGAAAAATTCAGTAGGTTTTTTTTCTTTCCAGGTCCTGAAATATTTTAAGCTTTAATAAATTTGGTTCTATTTAAATGCCTTGTTATAACACATTTTTGATTCTTCCATCTCCAGAAGCTATTCTAAATCTGCAATCTGCATAAATACAATAAATATAGAAGAAAGCATGCTCCTTGTTTTGCATACAAAGTGACAAATCACACTACTTGTAGATTTGGAGGAAGTGGAAAGTTACATATTTTTGAAAATGATAACTTAATCTCTCATTCGTTTGGCTAACTGTTTTTCAAATTTGGAAACTTTGATGTGTGGACTTCAATTCCCTAGCTAGCATGCTGGTTCATAGATCTGAGATACAGTGCTGACCTTTGGAAAAAGCATATAATACAGCACATATCTACATTTTTACTGAATTATATACATAAAGTCTTAAACAAATTAACAATAATTATTTTAAAAAAACATACCATGTTCTCCTGGGCATCCTTTGGGTCTTTTTTGAAAGTAGCAATTGCAAGCACATTTAAAAATATGAAACCTCTTTATTTCTTTACACTTATTCATAAAACTCCACTCTTCTTTTTGAGTATGCATTGCAAGGCTATTCTTTGTAAGGCCCAATTTCTTAAATATAGCTTTTCTCTTTTTCTCTTGTGAACTGTTAGATTGTAGAACAATAGTTTGATTTTCTGTGGATTTTATCCCAGATAGATTGTCTTCTATAATTTCTAAAAATAAATTTGAAGACAGACATATAGGAATTTTTTAATGTTATTAAAAAGTTGTAAACATGTTAAATATAAATGTCTATAGTAGTCTGCCAAAGTTTATATAGGAAAGAGAGCACATAATTATTACAATTAAATATAAATATAATAAACTTCCTACATTTATTCTAGAGAATATAGAGTCATATTCTGCCTCATAACAAAAGTGGTACTATACCTAATTCAGGCTGTGTTTTTTTATCTCCAACATGAACTATGGTGCTGCTGTAGCTGCATTGACTGACAAAAGATATTACACTTTCAGGTTGTCCAGGAAAAGTCAAAGAAGTTAAATGAGCATCCATAAGAGCTGAAGCATTGGATGTGTCAGATGTTTCCAACACTGCAGGACCTATGTGAGTTTTTGACTGTCCCCTTTCTTTTCAGTAACAACATAAACACACCATATACACAAAGAGAAAAGAATAAAAAGAATAAATGCAAATTTTTCAAACAAATAAAACATGACGACAGGTGAAACTATCCAGATCTACTAGACTGAGACAAAAATATGATAAAGAGTCAGAAAGGTTTATATAGTGTTGTTTTTCAGCTTCCTAGAAATTTTTAAAATTATGTGTGTTTCACTTTTTCATTTCATGAGCTTGTAAATATGTTTTCACTGATAAAAGTTTCCATCATTGTCATCAAGACTAAAGCATTGAATTGTCATTCCTCCTGGCTTCTACAGATTTAGACTGGGGAAGAGGAATAAAATATTAGTACTGTTTTTCAATTTAATTTCCAAGTACTTTATCTATAATGAAAGCAAATATTCCCTGGAATACTTTTTTAAGGAAATGTTTCTGAATGAGCACAAGAACATGAATTATTTTTCTCTTAATTTCAACATTTAGATTATTTAAATGCCCATGAACTGTAAACCAATTTGTTCATAAATATGCTGTACTAAATGCTAAGTTAACAAAAAAAACTACACAATACTGGTATAAATAGTAAACCTATTTCTAAGACTGGCATTAAATCAAAATCAAATCATTTGCTTGTTGAAAATTATTGTATTCTTTTTTTTCTACCATGCTCTCTGGTCTTTGAGAAACCTAATAATACAGAACAGACAATTACCAGCAACATGAATGTATCACAAGTTTCCTTGCTTCACTGTTGCTGATTCTTGTTGGTTAACTCATAGTCAAAATATCATCATGGCTGAAGAAGAAAAGATGGACTGTTTCTTAAAGTGACTGCTTTACAGACAGCTTAAAGTGAGCTGCACTGTACGGCTCAGCTTAGGAAAGACCATGTTATAAGACTGAATATTGCCCAAATGGAACCTGCAATCCTAAACACACTTGGGTAAGGAGTAACATTAGTTGAAGATAAATGTGCATAAGACTTCCCATAAACAAAGTCTCCAATACCTGTGGATGCTTTTGTTGTATCAGCATTCATTTTCTCTCTATATATATCAGTATTCAGTGCTACTTCAGTATATGGTGTCTGGTGAGTCATTTTCTGCATAGTATCAGCTGCACAGCAACTTTCTAAGTATCTACAAGAAAAAGCAACTTTAAAACTTTATGAAAACAGTCATTTTAAAAAGTGCATACATATACACATCAGTAATTCAGTGAAATACATTATTGCTTACCTGATAACATTATCTAAACAGCTGATCTGTTGATATGAATACATCATTTGTTCCCCCCAAGTTGATTCTTTTGCAACTGAACTACTTTGGCAAGTAGTCCCAATGCCATCATTTTCAAACAGTTGAGTGGTACTATTGGTATGATCATGGTAGTCAGTGGGTTTCTCTGAGCAACATAAAAATAAAAATGTTATAGAGGTTTATTCGGTTTTTCTTCCATAATCAAATATTCTAATCAGGAAGCTGATAAAACCAAGCCTAAGAACATAGGCAACTCAAGAACTGGTGGCGCAGGGGTTAAAGTGCAGGCACCCTCTGCCCACAGCTTGGGAGTTTGATGCTGACAGGGTCAAGGTTGACTCAGCCTTCCATTCTACCAAGATCAGTAAAACGAGGACCCAGATTGTTGGGGACAATATGCAAATAATGCTTCTACATTGTAAACTTCCCAGAGAGTGCTGTAATGGGGTAGTATATAAGTCTAAATGCTATTGCTATCTAAGATATAAGAAATACCACACAAAATGACTATCGTTAGTGGAATTGGACTGAGTGCATTTGACCAAAAGTTTAGTTAAAATAATTGAAGATATAGCTAAAATAACTGAAGTAATTTCTTTAAATTGACATTGCTTTATACCTCTGTAAGATTTCTTCTGATTTTCAAGCTTTAATCTAGAATCAAAGGAGGCACGAGTTCTGTCCACACTTCCATTTTTACAAGTATTTTGAAAAGAATTCTGGAATCAAGAGGAGACAGTCTTTAAACCATACTTGATGCATGTTTATTTGGAATAATTAATTAGAAATTGTTTAATTGGCTCACATTTATAATGTGAGCCATTTACTACCTTTTTCTCATTAGTTTGAAAATATTAACAGAAAACAATGCCAAACTTACAGTTTTCTGTATCTTCCGAGTATCTTCATTGTTCCCATTGCTGTCACTGGATGAAGCCACACTCATTAGATGCTCATGTGATCCATTGCTGCCCAAACTTCCATAGCCACTAGAGCCACTATTATATATAGGCTAAAAATATAGATATATATTGTAATAATGAAGGACATTGCTAGTCAGAAACCTTATTTATTTGCATCTCTCCTTTATTATTTTCATAAATAACTCAAGGATGAAGAACATAGCCAAATTTCCTCCTCCCATTTTCTCACAATAATACCCTGTGAAGTGGGTTCAGCACACAACAAGGACATTTAAAAACACCAAAAGCAGAATTCCATTTGCAAAATTTTCAATATTTTGAAGGTACTAGTTACGCAGTTCATATATTTGTGTCTGTGTGTGTATAGGTAGTCCTCAACTTACATCCATTTGTTCAACAACTGTTCAAAGTTATAGTGGTCCTAAAAAATGGACCTATGACCAATTCTTGGAGTTTTGGCTATCACAGCATCCCTGCAGTCACATGAATTCAATCTGGGTTATCAGATGCTTGGCTTGTAATCATGATGTTGCAGTGAGTTGTGTCATGTAATTATCATTTGCAATCTTCCTTCCTGGCTTCCCACAAGCAAAGTCAATGTGGAAATGAGCAGAGAAAGTTGCACATCATGTCCATAAATAGCTCCCATCACTTTTTCTTGAGGAGCCTCACTACAGAATGTGAGATCCTGGGGATCACTTCTACCTGCCCACACTCCATAGTTTCATGCCACTTGCAGCACCACCCTATTTGTCTACAGCCTCTCCCTGACCTCCAGCTTCTTCCGTAAGTCCATAAGAGTCTTTGGAGTTATGATGGCAATAAGGACTACTGGGACCATCATCACTACATGACACAGTCATGTGGCTTCACGCCTTACAAGTGCATTGCTTAGCAATGGCAATTCTGGTCCAAACTGCCATTGTAACTCAAGATTATTTGCTTCTCACTTGTGTGTATGTATATCTGTGAATAAATATATAATAAATAAATATCATACTTGTAGTAATAGCTTATGTATTTGCTCTGTAATTTCTTCAATATTAGGATGTTGCATTTTTTCTTCGCTGTGCTGAGGTACAAATACATCTTCATTCAAAGGGCCCCTAAAAATCATTAATAATATACAGTGACAAGTTTATTTATTTCAGTTACATATAGTCTGTTTTTTTCTCTTGCATCTATAAACATTTAAATTGATCAAAGATTCAGGCTTACATTGTTCAAACATGACTTTATTTATATAATCTGAAGCAACTCTTGACAAAACTTGAAAGATCTGGGACAATTGTAAGTTTCTTATAAACATTTAGCATTTAACACATGCAAATTTAAATGCAGTTGTTTTCTCCCTGTTCATTAAAGAAATCATTTCTAAAATATGCATGTAAATTAGTATCAACATTTTGACTTTCCAAAAGGTATTCATGATTATTAAATGAACATAAACTAGAATATCTTAGATTCTAAATTTATGCATATATCATATATATCATTGAAAAAAGAAAGCTGAAAACCTTGCACAGGATGACATCCACAATGATTTCAACCTACAGTTTGTGTGAAATGGTTAGACTGAATTGCATAAATTTAGATAATTCAATTCCCATAAGGAAATTATTAAAGCCTCTTTGGTGTAGATTTGAAGGAATACTATATTATATAACCAGTACCTCAATAAGCTATATTGGATACAGTCTGCAAAGGCATCCATGATGGAAATGTGGCAAAACAGTGTAAGATGCCAATCATACAACTGACAACAGCTTTTCTAAAATAGACTAATCTGGACTTTGTTTCAAGGGAAGGGGATAAGGAGAACTTATTATTTTTTACTGTCTGACCAATTTGGACTGGCCTTTCCTAGTACCAGCTTTTACACTGACAGAAAAATTCTCCAGGAAACCTAATCTAGATTGATACCACACCACCACATGAAAATAAATAATCCCTTGCTAAAAGTAAACACTAGGGTTTTACTTTGTTATTTATTATCATTTAAAATTTAGGTAAGCTATATATGTAAAATTTAGGCAAACTATATATGTAAATGGCATCGTATCCAATCTGGCACTGAGAAGTCTACATCTGTTCCTACAGAAGGAAGAAAGAGTAGGGAATTATCCTTTTACACAAAGGATCTCTTTAATTGTATAATTAGATTTTGGCACATTCTAATGTAAGGAGACCTCTTGCAAACAATTTATCTCATGAATTCTTGTTTTATTGACACTAATTTCTTACATTCGAACTCTGTGTCTTCCAATTATAAAGGAAATCTTTCGACTCCAAGGATTGATGAAACTGGACCAGCTTGTATCCAGAGTTACATATTCACCATTTCTAGTACAGAATCTGATTGGTGAATAATCAAATGGTTGTCCGCCATACTGAAGTACTGTAAAAAAAAAAAAAATCATGCAAGCTTTAATGATAAAGAAATAGAGAAAAGTGATTGTTTGAAAATCAGTACCACACTATAAAACTACATAACTTGTAAATATTAAAGGAGAAATTATTTTGATGAAAAATAGTTTGATGAAAAAAGCTCTTTGAACTTGAGACTCGGCATGAATTATCTAATTTGGTTTTAGCTCAGTAGATGATGAAAAGAACTGCTGACATGAAAATGTAAAATTAACTTATTTTGTCTTTGCAATGCTGAAAATGGGCAAGAATAATATTTACACAGTATGTCTAAATTCAAGATTCTAAATTTTAGACTGAATCTAGACTTGGAGCAATCAGAAGGCTGTATTAAGTTCTCATACAATATGTTAACAACATTTATAATGTTTTAAATAGTCAAATATTTGAAACTTTTTTTGAAGTTCAATAGCCTCCGCCACATTAGACTGAGGCTATTGAGGAATTGAAGGTTACTGAAAGGATGCAACTAACCACAATTAGATATTAATAGACATATATGCTATTTTGCATGTATACTTGAATACTTGAAAATAAGGCTGTATAAAGCATTCAAAAGGTGCTTTACAAAGCAATGTTCTTCATAGTGTTAAAGCTGTCACATTCTCTGAAGATCTGGCATAGTTGATTCTGTGATTGTTTCTGTACAGGTACAGAAGACATTTCCTTTGAGACTGAACAATCTCAAAACTTAATGGAATACTATTTCAGTCATAAGTATACACATACACATATCAATTTTGACCATGGGTGTCATGGTCAAGTTTTTATATTTTTTATATCAGTGGATCTAATTATTGCTTCATCTATTCTCTGTCACCAATAATGTGATTAAGATAGAAAAAATGGTACCTTTGCTCAGATACTTGAATCTACAAATAAACAAGACAGAAGAAGAGAGTGTAGTGGAGAGAGTAAGTAATCAAAATTTAATCAGGAGATCAATCTGTTAAATATTTCTTAAAACTCTATGAACATCCCTTATGTTTTATTGCATTTGTTTTTTTCATTTTTGTCTTCCAACCCTTCATGAAAAGCGAAAGTAGAAAACGTACTTTTTTTGTGAATTGTTAGCATTAAAGCTCTGTCACTTGGATGAAGATGTAGTAAAACAGGAGTTCCAATTAAGTCCTGAGGTAAGTATCCCAATAGAGGCACAGCTCTTAAAAAAGAATTTGAATAAAAATAGAGCAGAACACATTTTATATATATAGTATATCAATTTAGTTCCAATTGAAATAAAATGAAAATAGGTACAGTATATCTGGAATTTATATCACACTTAAATTTGCAAAACACTGGGAAAAATAGTTATATTTATCTTTTTATAAAAGTTATCTATATAAGATTATAAAACTCAAGTAGCAATATGAAATAGCAATACTGTCCTTTAATCCAGGGGTCCCCAATCCCCGGGCCGTGGGCTATTTGCAACTGGGCCACACAAGCAGCTCGACTTCTGTGAGAGGTAGGCCGGTGCACCGCACATGTGCACGCTCAACTTGTGCAAATTGAGCTGCGCATACCACCCCTACACAAGCTCACTGCTCACGTAGCCCAGTTCCCCTCTCACCCTTGTCGGGCTGCCAAGCCGCAAAAGTTGAGGAATGCTGCTTTAATTTTTGTAATGCAAGGTTTTCATTCAGAATTTAATTATGAATTTCTGCTATTATTAATGGAAAGAAAAGAGGAAAACAATCATTCTGAAAGAGAGAAATTATATTTCATTTTTTTAAATTTTATGCAATCTTTTTTCTTCATAATTTGACAAAAGCCAACAACATAAACCCATGCATTATTATAATATGTGTACGTACATTACCTGTTTTCATTATTATTTTCATAAACAACGCAGCAAAACATATATTAAAACAATAAGCATGGTAGTTTTAATTCACCTTTCATCTACTTCTTGGAATAAGCAACTTGGTGTATGGACGGTTGTAAAGATTCTTTTATTAGGAGGAATTCTAGGTGCTGAAAGAAAAAGAAGTACATTTAATAGAAATATATATATATGTAAACAGGGTACACTAAAGAAACACATAATTTTTGGAGTATTCAACTTCTTCACAGCAACTGGTACTAAAAGCAAGATGACTTATCAAATAGTGTGATCAGTTTGTTTTAATTCTGTGATGCTTTTGTATTTTAAATATAGATATAAGACTAATCACTTGACAGAAATAAGCAAGTTACAATTATTTGAATTTATGACATTAAAAGCCTATTACAATAAATATAATTAAAACACTTAAATCCTTGAATCTAATCATTTTATTGAGATTAGTTAAGCCTATTTTTACTGAATAATACTTAGAATATAACAGGAAAGGATAAACAAAATCTTTATTTCCCAACTGGTAGTACATGAAATACAAGGAATATTCTAGGTGGAATATATTTCCCCTCTTTAAATCCACAAAGAAGGTAGACAGGAAGTAAGAGAGTCAAGGGTGGAAGAAAGCAGAGGATAGGAGAACAACAGGTCTCCAGTTGGCTGTGGAATTGAATGGAACTGAGTGTCTAGGATCAAAAGAGCTCTGAGATAAGGCTAATGAGGGATGTTTGTTTGTCAATCTTGACTGTGCTGGCTTCATTATGGCTTGCGGGGGGTGGGGAGGATGAGATTTTGGGAGCAGTCAGCAACCATATTACATTCTGTTAGTCAAGATTGCTATAAAATGTACACATGCTAGGAGTTTTAAGCATAGCTATTATACGGGAACAATCTATCAAAAAAAAAGTCATGGTGATAATAATAATAAAAAAAATCTCACCCTCACCCGTCCTACCTAAAAGCCCTGTTTCAAATGTCAGGTTACTTGCTATTAAGACTTTTCTCATTGAAGGTTTAACCTCTGAATGAAAATGCTGACTTATAAGTCATCCATCACCAGCAAGAGAAATATTTCCCCCCTCAGATCTGTTTCCAAAGTTACTTAGCTGTACAGACCAGATCTACTGCGGCATGGTAAGTATCTATCGGGGTAGGAGTCTATGGAAATTGCATCTTGTGATTCAATTTTCTATGAAACAGTTGACCAATTTATATTTTTGTGCCTGGGTTTGTTGGGATTGTTTTGGTCCACTGTCCAATCTGTTGCCTAATATTTCCCATTTCTAAGATATTGTGGGCACTTTGAAAGAGGCATTGGGTTGAGCAGCTCAAATTTTTAATCAACAACCATGGATCTTCCCAATTACTATCTGACTATAGAAATGGAATTTAGCATACTCTCAATCTGGTAGTCTGTTAAAGTTGGTATTCTAAAAGGCACAGGAGTTCTATGTGAGAACGTTGGCACAAATATTATTTGATCAGCTTTAATTTGGTCACTAGTATAACCCTCTGCTGGAGTAGTGAAGTGGTTAAAATAGTTTGTCCTACATTGCGGATATATACAAATGGTTTATTGAAAGCACTTCAGATTTTCCTGCGAATTGTAGCAATACTATTAATTAAAATGGTATGGGTATTAGGCAAAATTATTCAATGAAACCTTCTCCCTTGCAGAAAGGGCAATAGTTTGAGCACAAGGAAATTCTGGAGACTCAAGCAGAGACTGAAACCCATTTGTAGTTAAATTTCATTACAGTGAAGGCATGATTATTTTTCTACATCTGCCTCACTCCAGATGTGTAGTCTTGCACTCTGGACACATCTGGAGAACACTGATTATCTAGATCCATTTCAATCAAGTTCAATTGGGATATGGGATTGAAATTGCTTTCCTTGTCTTGGTGGATGATGTATTATAGTAATAAACTAAATAAATTATTATTTATTTATATCCTTAGATCTGTCAACTGCCTCTGTCAACTGGGCTTTGATAGTTCATGACTGTTATAATCTTTCTTGCTAGATAATGCTAGTGGGATATAAATTCAATAAATAAACAAACAAACAAACAAACAAACAAACAAACAAATAAATAAAGGAAGGAAGGAAGGAAGGAAGGAAACTACTGCTCAACAACTAAGCAACAGGACTATGGGCTCATACGGAGCTCCATCTTTCTCCAAGTTTATACAGTTTCTGAAACTATTTCTGAAACTATTGTAAAGAAATCTTTACAATGAAAATATATTGCTCCATTTAATTTGAAGTCAAGTTGGCTGATACTAAATTTGATAATGGAGTAGATAAGGCATTAACAAGCTAAAATTAAATTCAGACTAATTAGACCTTTTTTGATAAGAAGAAAACAGCTCTAGGATTTGAGTTCGGTCTGTTCTGGATAAGGTTGTCCTCTTGACAGACAAATTTACCTTGAAATTGACCATGGAGATGTACAATAAACCAACCAACCGATCATAACACAAAAATAAAATAATCATTCTTAAAACCATCAAAACTATTTTAATCAGAAATTATACTCATAAAGACCATTACCAAATAAATTGTCTACTACAGAGGAAACATGTTTCTTATGTTGTTCCCAAGCTAGGACACATAATCATCTCAGGAATAATCTCAGCTCCTTTCTATTCACTTTTAGGAAAATAATGATCTTTGTCTTTAGCAAGAACTTTTCAGAGTGAATTAATTTAATAGTGGATATAACTGTTTTTATTATAATTTAACCATAATTCTGGCTGTGCACCGCCCTGAGTCCTCAGGGAGAAGGGTGGTATATAAATTGAAAAATAAAATAAAATAAAATAAAATAAAATAAACAAACACATAAAATTGTCAGCTTCATTAGGTGTCATATGAGCAGAGAAGCTGTATATAAAATATAAAAGAACAAATAAATAAAATATGGAAATAAGGCCACCAATTCTATGCATACATATATATCCAGTTGAAACTAATTAGCTCTATTTTCCAAAAGATACACATATACTATAACAGGAGGAATATAAAAAATAGGAGGCATTATATTACTATAATAATAATACTAATAATTTCACTTCTAAGTAAACTTGATTAGTAACAGAGGTTACTTTAAACTAATTATCTTCCGAGTCCTTTTTCTACAAAACACAGTGGCTTTTCACATGGGAACCTCTCTATGTTATCAATGGTAGCTTCCTCAAAAGATGACCAGTTTTTGTAAAATAATGTCTTTTTTGCTTTGAAAAGAAAAAAAAAATACAGTATATTACCTTCATACCCAGAGTGTACCTTTTCTGCAAGCAACATGCAACAAAGTTGATCTTCTATAGCTTGTATTTTAATAAGGTATGGGGTCATACGGAATGGATGGTAGCAAGTCTCATTTATATTCACTTTTCCTGCACTAAAAATGTGAAAAAACATAGTTCAGTTATTATATTGTTATAGATTATTATATGGCATAGGTTTGGAGATTTTCAGAAATGAATGTATCACTTTTTCCATTCAAAAGAGGACATTTCATATTTTTTTTTACTAGAATGTTTCATTTATGTCTTCTGAATAGTAATCATGAAGATCAAAGGCAGGATTGCGGCAGGAAAAAGTAGCAACTTTTCTAGGAGAAAATATAAGGGTGTGCCTGAGTCCAAGTCCCCACAAAATATTGACTATTGATTATTATAGTTTGTATTACCTGAAGCGGCAGAAGAAAGATTTTTCCTTCATGAACTCTTGGGTGGCAGATTCTATAAAAATATTTAAAACATTTGATAAGCTACAAAACTCTGTGTTGCCTTGGTATTATTTATTTATTTATTTATTCGATTTATATGCCACCCTTTTCCGGAGACTCAGGGCGGCTTACAATGCGTTAAGCAATAGCCTTCATACTTTTGTATATACCTGCTTAGTAGGGCTTTCACCTCCCCCCCAGGGGTGTTCTTTTTTATACAAAGTCAGCTTATTGCCCCCACAAACCGGGTCCTCATTTTACCTACCTCGAAAGGATGGAAGGCTGAGTCAACCTTGAGCCTGGTGAGATTTGAATTTGCAGTAATTGCAGGCAGCTGGTGTTACTTAACAGTGCTTTAGTCTGCTGCACCACCAAGGGTCTATTAGGAAGTTATTTAGTTATTCTGGTAAAACAGAATGTCAATGCTGAATTTCTGGTAGAACAATTCTAAGTGACGGTTGGAAGAAGCTTGACCAAATGGAAAACATTTTTATACCCGTGGCAAAGCTTTTGGAGCTATTCTTCATGAAGAACCCAAATGCTCCCATTCAAACATGCTGTGCTTTGATAGCAAGGTAGCACACACATTCCTTAGACAATGTGAAGAGATCATTGAAATGATTATGCCAAGCCTTCACAGTATCACCTGCCATTTCACATAGCAAATTAGACTGGAAGCCTCAATTGCTTTGTGAAATGACTCTCCAAATCATTTGTACAGCCCTTGTATGCATGTCTATGCTCTGTCTCCCACCTATGAATTAGACCCAAGGGAATAGAGATCTGTATCCCACAAAGGTGATGCCCTTGGCAGTGCAAGTACAAACATACAAGACAGAAGACGTATAAAATAAATTCAGTTACTAAAGAATCAAATACATTTGAAAATGAAATTATAATAAGCGTGTATCCCTTTTCAGATTAACAGCAATCACAGAGATTCCTTGCAAATGTTTAAACTTTAAAACCTACCAATGACGTAATTATTTTTTATCTGTCAAAATGGACTCTATCTATACAGCATTTCACTGTTAGATAAGATATGACAAAGACTCTCTAGGCTGGCATATGCATGGCAAAAATAAAGAATAAATACTACAAGACATAGTATTTTCAGTTTTACATTACAATTGATATATTCACATTTAACCAAAGGAAAGCAGGAAAATGTTTCCATGTAGCATTCCCAATATTGTGAAAACTTTTCTCAATGAAGAAACTTTTGCAAGATAAAATAGTTTTATCATTATCAGTTTTAAATTTATTACAGGAGTCCCTGACTTGTGACCACAATGGAGCCCAAATTTTTTGTTGCTACATGAAACATTTAAGTGAATTTTGCCCCATTTTATGACCTTTTTGCCACAGTTGTTAAATGAATCACCATAGTTGTTAAGTAGTTGTAAAGTGAATCTGGCTCCCCCATTGACTTTGCTTGTCAGAAGTTCTCAAAAGGTGACAACATAACCTCAGGACACTGCAACTGTCATAAATATGAACCAGTTGCCAAGAATCCAAATTTTGTTGACATGACCATGGGGAAGGGGTGTGAATGTGAATGTGAATGTGAAAAACAGTCATAAGTCACTTTTGTCAATGCTGTTGTAATTTTGAACAGCCATTAAATGACCTGTTGTAAATTGAGGACTAACTGTATATCACTTGGGAAACTGAAATTGGTTACTATTTTCAAATAATAATTTAAGTTTTTAAAAGTTTCCCTCATAAACTCTGACAGAAGTATGCAAGAACAACTTTTAACATTTGGAGTTATAATATGAAGAATTGCTTTAATCTGAAAAATTAAAGGTAGCCACAGAACACATAACTTTCTAATTAAGAAACTGGTCCCCAATCTTTTTGGCTCTGCAGACCAGCGGTGGCAGGGGTGGCAGTCAGAGAGGAATGGTTTTGTGCAAGTGGTAGGATCACGTGCCCGCTTGCACAAATTGAGCTTTGTGCATTTGCCTGCTCACCCGCTTGTGCAGTTGAGTTCCTGTTGTGTGTGGCCCAGTTTCCACTTGTGTGGTACTGGGCTGCAGCCAGGTGTTGGGGACCCCAGAATTAAAATACTAAAGAATTAATTTATGGATAAGACCATATAGATTCTTTGTTCCTGTGGAACTCATTTGACACTACCTTCTTCTGAGATATTTTTCATCTCTTAATCTAGATTATAGCCCTGATATCCTTGTTATTTCATAGTCATAGCCCAACCCTGCTTCTCTACTACACTTTGACAGGTGACACTTCATTAAAAATACAGCAATGAAACAGTGATCGGTTTGCCCAGAAAAGTGGTTTCATCATAAGGAGAAAAAAAAATCAGAAAAGCTCAAAAGAATTAATATTTGTAAAAAGAACTACGTAATTATGGATTTAGATTTTTCATGAGTCAACACAACTATAATTATCTGATCTTTAAAGAAATATAAACTTCTCAATTAAGTATGGGTAAAACATATTAATGTAGGCATAATTGAAGAATTTAACTGACTTACCAACTTCATTGCAAATACTCCAAGATGGCAATCTATATGGTATAGTTGAGCTATAGAACACACTGACATCCTGAGGTGCCAGAAACTCCACAAATTTGGCATTTTTAAATAAATCTTTCTTACAATGGAGGATACAGGCAGCCTGATCAGAGATGTACAAAATTTTCCCAGTAGCCAAAGAAACAGCTACAGCAAACATATCCTAAAACATGATATATATTCAATGAAACACATTTTAGGTTGGCAAAAGGAAAATAAACACAAATGCTATGAGCTCTAAATATACTAAACTAATGAGATATGAAAAAATTAACATATTATTTGGGTAACGAGAGAATGAGTAAATGAATAAATGAATGAATATATTATGGTTTATTTCTGACTATTAACAGTATGCTTCAGATCTATATGGATTCTGAATTAAGTTTGGGTAGTCCAGATATCTGAATCAAATTAAGATTCCTTTTAGGAACATATATTGTGTTTATATTGGGCAAATCAAGATAATTGCCTTTTATTCAATAAATCATGGTAAATCAATTATGGCATGCCTCAGTGATCAAAGAGGGCCAGCATGTTTGCAAACAATTCCAGAATCAAGCTCTCTGAGTAAGAACAGCAAAATGGCTACCTAAAGATCTGTAAATGTCATGCAAATTCAGGCAATTATCTTTTATATAAGTAATGGTGTGCATGTGCAAGCATTATATATTTGTTTACATTTTTATTATATATAAAATTATCACAGTATCATGGGAACCAATATTCTTGAATGACTTATTCACTTCACTTATCATTTTATTCAGCCTCCTCTCCCCCCCATCCCTCGCCCAGGAAGTAGCATACATGGATTGTCTTCCCCACTATAATTTTATATATTAATAGATTAAGTAACAAACATTGGGTTGACTCAGGGAACATTAGGTTCACTATCAGTGGGAATCAGCATCTCCCTGGTTTAAGTCCAGAATCCCAATGGCTTTCCTTTATGTGGGTTATGTTGGTACTAGACACAGAAATAATTTAAATACTGTAGATGCTTTTAACTATTAAAAAGAACTGCTAAGATTCCCTATTTGAGTTGAAGAAGATAATTTGCACATTTGTTGTAATGGGAATACTTACTGCATTCTTCATGGTGTACTCTGCAGTAATGTTTTTAACATCTTCCATAGTACAGGATAATATATCAAGATCAGAGAGATAGCTGTTATTAATCATTGTCAATTGATATTCTTCTTCATTGGCTACAGAAAAAAAAACAATGTGTACAATTCAAGCAGCTTTTTAAATACTCTTTTCATAAGGGTATACAATCTTTTATTTAGGCTGATATTTAATTGTATTTTTAAATGAACAATTTTCCTGAACTTAATATACTGATTCAGATAAAAGTATACTTCCCAATTAATTTGTTAATTATGAACTTTGAGTTAGTTAAAAAAACAAACAAAAAACCCCCCAAATACTAAGAGGCAAGAAATAAGTTTTCAAATTTATTTCTTTTTAGAATGATTTTTGTCCCCTCTTAAAATTGTAATTATCAGATCACATTTTATCATATTTATATTTTTCCTTACTTATTCATTGAGAGTAATAAAATAGATGCTTAAAAAGGAGACGAGTTTGTCACATTTAAAATCTTCTTGGAACCTGATGGTAAAATCCTTAGTTTAGTATCTTGACAGAAAACAGAGTTTAAAATTTCAGAAATAAGGGATGGGAAAATTAATGTTAACAGTTATTGGGAACCCCCTTGTCCATTTTAAAATTTTGTGTGGTCATATTATCAGTAAATTTCCATGAGGCCCTAGTCATTTTGTCACATAAGCAAGCCTTTACATCGCTTACCATTTCAATTTGATTCTTGAATAAGCTTTCAAATATTCTTATATTCTTATTCTTGTATAAGCTTTCAAATATACTTATTCATATATACTTATTTACTTATTCCCCTATGGAAGGAGTATATTTACTTCCACATGGGAATATTGAAAAACCTTGAAAATGTAAAAATGCTTTTTCCTAAGTGCTTTAATATTGTCTCTTTAGTTTTTACACTTGGATTATAAAGCAATTTTAACATGGTTAATGTAAATTTTTCATTTACATTAACCATGCCTTTATTCCTTTTCTTTCACCATTCAATAAAAGCTGTCCTCCAATGAAATCTTGATATTCTGAATGTGATCAGTTTGTAAGCCTCTACATTTCAGTAAACCAAAAGTTTTTTTTATTTTGCACAGCTTAATTCTGAAAGACCGGATGATTCCTCTTGTACTCAGATATTCTAGGAACTTTCAAGAACAAGAACAGAAATGGAGTTGGTAGGGATGTATTGGAGCTGTCTGTAGATGCATTTCCACTTGGGTCTTCTCATGTTTTCATGATTTGACAGTTACAAAGAGAGAAATGGAGGCAGGTTGTCAACTATGCAGTGACCTTAATTTTTCACAAATAGCAACTTTTCAAGAAATTTAAGTTTTTTACAGCAACTCCAGCAAACTGCAGTGAAAGAACAGAAATTGAAGAATAACGTATCTCAGAGCTTCTCAAAAGCCAATACTGCCATCTGTTGGTGATCTATTATAATTTTGGAGGCATTTCATGCAACCTTGTTGGAAAAAACAGCTAAGTAATATATCAATCTAACTAATGTAAATCTATCCTGAAGTTAAATTCATTTAAATAGAACTCATATCAATCTTATATATATCCTATCTTATTCTATTAATCAAACAGTACTGTGAAACACATATTCAAAATCTTAGAGCTTATGTGACACTTATGTGACAAGTCTGTCAGTGTATTATATGTATGTGTGTGAGATAGACAGTGAGGGATAATAAGTTAATATGAACTTTCATGGTATTATTTTATTTTATTCTATATTGTATATTGATATGAACTAATGTTTAGGTTTTGACTTTAAAAACAAAGTTATAGCAATCATATCAAGATTGTAATTTAAAAAAAGCATTACTATAGTTCACAGACTCTCTTTTATCATAGGCTTTCTTCCTGTTGTACTTTCTGGATATTGCTTTAATTTCCTAAATAGGAATATGAATGGTTAATATAGTTACCTTCAATTTGCTTAATGCTCCTAAGTGCATATTTCAAAGTTGCCAGGACACTTGATTTGCCTTTGATCTTTTTATGAGGAGGAAGGTATCCTTTTAGATCTTGCATAGTTTTTATCAATTCCTTACGGATTTTAGATTTAGAAGATTGTTCACTCCTGGACATTGTAAATGAACATAATTCAAGTTTAATGTAATTTTGGAGCAAAACCCAATATTTAAGATTTATTGAAGTATTTATAAAACAATGCAAGGTGATATAAGCACACTGTTCTCCAGACTGCTTAAGTATATTTTATTTTTAATATATATAATTCTTAATCCTTGTTTATTTTAAGGTCAGACATAACTTTAAAAATGTAAGTTAGTTTTGATGAGAATAGAGAGAGGCTGGAGAGATTGTAGTATTCTACATCCTTGCCTCTGCTATAATTGTGAAAACAGCAGACACTTATGCAGTGGTGTGAAAACTGAACAAATAAAATTCACCCATCATCACAATCTGTTAATATCCTGAAATGCAATACTTTTAAGATTTAAATAAATATTCTTCATCTGTCTCAATATGAGCATTTAGATATGGAACATCCACAATTATACAAATGCAAATTACATATAATCATTGCTACACATATCCACAGCACTAGGACAATTATTTGGGATCAGAATAATACCTTTTATAGTAATCAAAAGATTCCATAATTATAGCTGTTTCTTTATCATTTTCTTCACCCTCATTGCTGTGGGAATCATGCCTGCTGGAATAATTTTCATTGATATCATTTCTACTCATTTCCCCATTCATCTCAATATCTTCCTGAAGAATATCCAAATTTTGTTCATTTTTCATTTGAATATCCATAGTTTCTACAATAATTTTATCACTTGCTGTTTTCAAATAGTTGCTCATTCTAAGCAATTTTAATGCCGGTAAGTGCCATATAAATGTCAAAGAATTCAAAAGATTTCTCAGAGCAAAGTTCAAAGAATATTTGGCCTTAAGGTAATCAGTTGTGCAATACTAATGTTTTCTATTCCATATCCACATGACAGTGTTTTCCAGTGTTCAAACTTCACATATTGTTTTAGATGCCTAAGGAAGGAAAAAAACACAAACAAAACAGTTTGTTTTTGTTCTCTATATTCTTATTTACCTTGTTTGTCAAGTAACAGTAGCATTGAAACAAAGGATTATGTAATAATTCAACAGCTGGCATTATTAGTTACCTGTGATCCAAATGAATCTACAGTAGGTCACAGAAAAAAGTCACATTTTATTGTTCACATTTACTGCAGAATCTCTGTGAGAGAGTGTCACTACAGGAAATGAAACAATGGCAAAGATATTTGTATGAGTTTACTAAAATTCACAGATGCATATTAAAGAACAAGCCACAGTTAATTGTTATAGCATGTTTTATAGTTTCTACATTAATGCTTTCCTATCAACTATTTCTGTAATAGCAAGAAATTTAGTGGTTATTCTTTTTTACTAGTGATATACAGTAGTTGCAATTGTTGAATAAGAAAAGTGTCAGGAAAATATGACTTCCTTTCTGGAAATATAAGAAAAATAAGCATCTCTTCCAACTGGGATGGAAAGAGTTACCACTGTTGTAACTAAAGTTTATTTATTAAAGTGCCATCCATTTGGCAACTCTGGGCGGCTTACATACATTAACATTGATAGACATTAAAATAATAAAACAACAAATAATAACAATAAAAGGTAAAGGTAAAGGTTCTCCTTGCACATATGTGCTAGTTGTTTTTGACTCTAGGGGGCGGTGCTCATCCCGTTTCAAAGCCAAAGGGCCAGCGCTGTCCGAAGACGTCTCCGTAGTCATATGGCAGGCAAAGGCGCACGGAACGCTGTTACCTTCCCATCAAAGGTGGTGTCTATTTTTCTACTTGCATTTTTTACGTGCTTTGGAACTGCTCGGTTGGCAGAAGCTGGGACAAGTAATGGGAGCTCACCCTATTACACAGCACTAGGGATTCGAACCACTGAACTGCTGACCTTTCGATCGACAAGCTCATCGTCTTAGCCACTGAGTCAACGCATCCCTATATAATAACAATATTAAATACAATTAAAACATGGGAAGGAGGGTAGCACGAAATACATGGGGAACTGGGATCTTTTCTTAATCTGATAGCCACCTCCAGAATGATGCACCCTGTTGGGGCCCCAGACCAATTGGCAGAGCTATGTTTTCAGGAATTTACCGAAGGTAAGTAGGGGGTGTGGATCTCACCTCTGGGAGTATGATGTTCCCCACCAGCTGAAATTCCTTACTAATATGGTCTGCAACATACTCTTTTTACTGGTATGGTTGGGTGGGCCAATCCCATTGGGGTGAGCTGGTTTTTCAGATAACCTGGACCTATGCCACAAAGGACTTTAAAGGTGATAACCAACACCTTGAATTGCATCCAGAAGCAAACTGGCAGCTAATGCAGCTCGCAAAACAGTGATGTAACATGGGCTACCCTAGGGACCGCAAGAACTGCCTGTGCCACATTATACACCAGTTGTAGCTTCCAAATACTCTTCAAGGAACCCCTGTAGAGCAGGGTTCAATATAGAGCCTCACTTATAATATTAATGAACATTAATATTATATTAATATTAATGAATATTAGAAGTGAGCGGTATAGCATGTTAGCTTCTAGCATGTACAAATGTATATAAATTTCTTAACAGGTCAATAACCTGCTTCTCTGCACTGGTTTTGAAGCTAACGTTTTAGCAAGTTATAGCCCTACCTTTACCCTCAAGCCTCGATCATGTCGACTAAAATGAACTGCATCATTGTGTAGTTAAAATATGCATTTATTATAACCAATATATAGAAGAATAAAGTGACAGGGTCCTGTATCGGTATATTTATTTATTTATTTCATATAGCTGCCTATCTCACTGAAGGTAACTCTGGGCAGTGCACAAATAATGTATGGATTTATGGGTGTATAGATAAACAAGTGCATGAATTTTTCTGCTCACTAATGTCTATCAGTGAGTTGCAAAATACCAGACTCCTCTTTATAGCTAATGAGAAGCTTACTGGTTTTCTAAGACGTGCTACCACTAATTAAAGACTGAAAAAAGCAATCCTCTCTTTGACTTTTCTTAGAGGGAAAAAAAACTACTTGTAAACCAGGTGAACTGGATTTATGCCATGTTGCTGGATACAGTGGTTTAACTTTTTCTCCTTTTTCTATTTTCTAACTAAGCATTCTACTTCCAGCTGTTTGGTTGAAAACATAAATGATGGTTAAAGACTCTAATGTTTTACTCATTTATTGGTCATACATTTATGCTGCAGCATCATAAAATATATAACAATCTATAATAAAAATGTTCCAGTAATAATGGTTCCTCTGAAAGCATAAAAATCTTTAAAATGAGAGGTATGTAAACAAAAATAGGAACTACCTTATGTTCTAAACTCTTCAATGAATAAAATTTGTAAAACTTATGCTATGAAACTACTTAATTTCATATTAAATTTATAATCATGGTAACTAAACATCAAGAGTTGCTTGCATAATGAACTGTAATAATTTTAATTTCAGCTACATTAGCTTGGGCGTGGTGGAATTATTAGACTATACTAACTATTGAAACTCTGGGAGTTTTAAGTCAGTCATACGCACTCTCCCTCTCACCACTCTCTCTCCCTCTCTCTGCCCAAACTGTCTCATAGATTTGAAGAGCTGTGTATTGCGGGACTGCTACCCCACAATACACCCCCATACATGAAGCTTATGGAACCTGCACTGCAACAGTGTAACATTGCTTTTGTCATTTTGACCCTGTGGACATCTTTGCAGGGTTACTTTGGGGGAAAAATTGGAGAGTCAGTTCCCAAAGGAAAATAAATAATAAATCACAATTCACTCATTAAAGAAACATTTCACAACACCACTACAAAATTAACAGGAAACAAAACAGGGGAAAGCTGTAGCAGTTAGTTTTAAAAGACTCACTCATGACTGAAAATGTAAGTGCAGTACATGTCCAAACAACTGTTCTATCCTCACTGTCTCCTACTGACCTACTAATTTTTCTCTCCTAGCCTTTAATGCTCCAATAGCACCTGGCTAGTCCTCCAAAATCTACTTGCCCACTACTTGCCCACAGTTCACCTACACTAAATGCATTCAGTACAGTATTAAGACATGACAGCATCTGCCAATTTAATTTAAACATCACACATAAATTAGGTCAGTAACCCAGTAACTGCCTGAGTAGAATCCAAGGGACAGACACAATCTTGTACACGTCTAGCAAATCCCATTAAATTCAATGGCACGTATCCCCAGTTAAACACATATCTGATATTGCAATCCTTACATCCCACAAAACAAGCACCACCATCTCAGATATGCCAATAGAAGGAAGCATAATAGAGATGTTGGCATCTCTAGATTACAATAAAATCACATGTTCTTCCAAGCAAACAATTGGGTGCTCCGATCTCCACCATCCTAACCTTTTTCTTGCTTTCATCCGTTCCACAACTCACCTCGTTTTGTTTCATGCATCAGTTTTTAAACAAACCCTAACTTTATTTTCCTTTATTTTCTGTGAGAATAAAGCACCCGGTCAAACCGGGCATCCTCCCACCACTCTCGTTTCCCCACACCCCCCGAGTTCAGCCTTTCACACTCTCCCTATACACCTCCCCCGTCCCTCGATTTTCGCGGAGGTTGGGAGGTCCGACCGGGCTCCCATGGGCTTCTTTCCCTGCTCCCTGCTCATCCCCTCACCTACTTCCAATATCGGCGCTGGCAGTGGTAGCGAAAGGTCGGTCAGTCGACCCGCCGACCAGGCGGCGGAGACTGCAGGTTATACAAGTTAAAACTACCGGTTTCCGAGTCTTCCCTCAGCGGAGAGGAACGGATTAACAGAGCCGGTATTCTGCCTCGCCCCTCGGCTACTGGCCCCGCCTCTACGAGCGCCCCCTTTCGGCGACCGCCTTCCGTCTGCCCTCCTCTTCAAGCACCGCCGAGCTCGGGTTTCATACCTTCAGAAACGTGACCCGGCCTGAGAAAAACCAGCTCGCGCAGGCGGCGATTGGCTAAAGAAAAAGTTTGACTCTCCAAAGAGTGGGCGGGCGCAACATTGAGATGGCTACTATTGGCCGGGCCGGGCGTCAATTCCGTTGTATAATCTTCACGTGTGATTCCATGTTTCTTTCGGGGGAGAAAGCTGCGGAACCTTTTAGCTGGCGCGCTTTGGCGGATGGTTGTTTCCTTCGTTTGTCAGTTCGAATCTTTTCCCATTGCTTGAGGGAAAGATGTACCCGAAGGGTGTGGAGGAAAGCGTGCGACATTATCTGAGTCATGCTTTGGATGTGTTGGGATAGGTTGTCGGAACGCATAGGGGGTGTGTGTGTGTGTGAGAGAAGTACGGTGACTGGAATGGGCGGATTTCCCACGATACGTTTTATCCATGTTTACTCAATTCTCATGACGCGATAAACTAAACCCGGGTATGAGGTTCACATAACACTAAACTAGCTTGCGAAATTGGCTCTGGTAAACGCGTTCGTGAGGGGAAGGATTGATTTTCCTTCTCTGTTGTCACCCAATGAAAGGATAAATATTTGGTATTTTGTTTTAATCTGCGTAAATTAGGGCGATTGCGTAATTGTTAGGGAAGTACTCCCGCATTTTCTGATAGAAGTGAATGTCCTGCCAGACTACAGGACTCTGCGTTTGGTCACTTCATGGCAACTTGATATTTTAATTAACAATGTGGAAAATGGTCGGGGGTTGATGAAATTACCCATGTAGCCTACATCTCTGGGGTGTTGAGTGGTCTGCTGTCCAAATGCTAACCTGCTCCACCTTGCTTAGCTTTCTGAGATCAGAAAAAATGAGTTAATTTGCTATGATGTGCCCGATGCCAAATTGGGGAGAAATTGTAAAAAAAAAAAATAGAATGAGACACTGCAGTACAGTTTTGTGGTGTTTTGCCAGCTGTTTGGTGTTGGTTCAGTATATTGGATTTTTTTTAAAAAAAAGAAGCAGAAACATTGGAAGGGCTGGTAGCAACTTTTACAACTAACACATGTTATTCAAAAGCATAAGCTTTCATGAGCTGCAGTTCACTTTAGATGCATTAATTAAAGGATTTAAATTGAGGTGAGGCAAGAGGGGGAAGGAGGCACAGATTGGCTGTGTGGATATGTTATAATTATAATTGTTATATCATCCAGTTATATGAGAAAAATCACAGGTATTTTAACAATTAAAATTGTAATGTATTAAAATCCATTGTTTGTTGAGACTTGAAATTGCCTGAAACCTTTTCATTTACTTTTCATATTCAGCAAACTCTTACTTAGTGGTGAAGTCAGTCCCATTTTTCCAAAACAGCCGCTTTAAGGCCTGCTCTAGACTTTTCTGAGAGGTTGAAATATTCTAGACATTAATATTTGAACCACTATAAGTCCATGTATTTGTCATATGCTAAATAAATAAATAAACTCTTATACTATTTTGTCCTTGCTTTGATGTGTGGCTGTGTGGACAAGTAAACACAAATATGATATCACATTGCCTAGAACAGATGTAAGAGAGACCAAAATGAAGAATAACTTATTTTTTCTGATAAGTCCATTTGAATCTTTACTAATTCCAAAACTCCTTTTTTTTATATTTTATATCAAGACACAAAAAGGAGAAAAGAGAATTGGAAAAGGAATCCATACATGATTGGAAACTGATGTACACCACTTTTGATGTTAAAATGTTAGACAGTGCAAACTACAAAATATAAAGAACTCTACATTTTATCTTGAGGTTCTTTTCAAAACCTTTCTTTCACATTTTTGCTTCCAATTATCGATGGAATTTATTTTCAGCAAATCAGAAAGAAATACTTGACTTCTTTAAATAATTTGTTTTGATTTTTAAGAAAAGATGAAAAGAAAAATATTCTTAAAAAGTTATTTAAGAATATATATTTGTAAAATACTTCTACAGACTGTAACATTAAATGGTGCCACAGTTCTAAGAACAATTTACACAGAATATTTCTAAAAGGTTCAGTACAGATCAGTAGCAAAACCAGTGTTTTAACTGCTTCAGTAAATATTTTTGTGGAACTCTTTTACAATTTACAATTCTTCTATCATTTTAAAAAACAAATTAATTATATGTTTACCTTTCTCTTTTCTACCATGTAAGTCTTTATGTATAATCTAGTAATCTAGGATACTTGGGTGTAGTTTCTGGACTTGCTGGCACCTTGGTTATGCAAAAGTTATAATGTGATGACTCTCCATGCCATGTAATTTTGCTTTGTATTTTTGTTGGTGTTACCATGTCAGCTTTATCCAGAAATTCATTTTCTTTTAGAAATAATAACAGAGGCATGAATAATACCAGGAGTACAATCTGGATGGCTACAAGAGATGTAAAGTTTAATTATCTAAATACTTCCTTCACTAATTAAATTAAAGGAAGTTAGTGTCGTGAAATTGCAACTATGTACACATATTTACTTGTCTTGTAAATCGCCGCCCAATTAGATAATCTAACAGAAGTAATCAACAGAGACCCTTCAAAGAAAAAATTCCTGAATCCTGAAGCACTTCTAATTCCTTTTAAAGTTTTTGGATAAAAACACACAAAAAAAAGAATTCATGGCGCTTTCTTTCACTTGTTCCATCTGCAGTTCTATTAACTACATCACCCTTAGCTACTGTAAAATACAGTTTTTTAAAACTGTATGTACTACACTTTAATAGCTAGCATAAGCAACTAATATGAGGGAACAAATGTGAGAAGTAATAAAAATGTAACATCATCAGAGCTAGTAAAAGTAGTGATCTCATGGAATCAACATAGCACACAAGCCAACTAAAGCCCTTCAAAACACCATAAGTAAACTAAAAGACCCAGCAACCCCAGAAGGAAAAACAGGTCATCTACAATATACAGTGTAATGACTGCAACAACCACTACTTGGGACAAATAGGCAGAAGACTGGCAAAACACATCCATGAACACCAAGCAGTAGTCAGAAGACATGATGAAAACCCTTTAATTTCACAAGTGCATAGACTTAATCACAGTTTCACAGTTAGTAAACTGACCATACGAGACCATACAATAGACTTGGGCAGGGGTGGGCAAATGTGGCCCTTTTACAACCTGTGGACTTCAACTCCCAGAATTCCTGAGACAGCCAAGCTGGCTCAGGAATTCTGGGAGTTGAAGTCCACAGGTCATAAAGGGGCCATATTTGCACACCCCTGGACTTGGGTCTGATTGTGAATATTCTCATATTGATATTAGCTTTGCTGGAATGTCCTGCATGGTCACCAGAAATCAAAGGAAGGTGGTTCTTCCAAGTATGAAAGCATATAAAACATCAAGTAATCCTATTATAGGAGTCTTTAGTATTGTGATGATTTGTTTCTTGATTTAATTAATATATTGTAGAATAAAGTAGTAAAAATAATAATTTAGTATGTCCATATTATCCATTGTTTAGGATAATGCAAGTAGGGAAGGATGCATTCAGTTCTTTTTTTGGATACCTGGATTTAACTTTTCAAACAAATAAAATACCTGTGTAAAGTAAAAAGTGGTCTAAAAGCTCTCAATTTTCCAAAACTCTTCATCAGGAATATATTAACAAAAAACAGGATGGGAAGGAAGCAAGACAATAAATAAAAATAGGGCAGATATTTCAGCCATAACTGGCCTAATTATGAGCCTTTCTTACTTGCTTCTCCATCCTTTTAGCTGATGGAAGAGTTCTAGAGAACTTGAACTGTTGTATTTGTCCATTGTTGAGCCACAGTGTACCAAAATATAGTTGTTAATGATGCGGCTTCTTTCAATTAAGGCATAGTAATTTTTTCCTTCTAAACTAAATGTTCAAATCTATGACAGAATGAGGTTACTGCCTTGGTGACTCACTGCTTCATAACTAGGTTTAACACTCACAAAGCAATATGTAATTGGACTGCCATGGTTTTGTTTTTTTATTCACAGATGGGGTTTTTTAAATGCCATATTAATAGGAAGCTACAACTGCAGAGAGAAACTTCAGTACCTTTTATGTTTAAAGTTGTGAAGTTTTTGTTTGTTAGGTTTTTCTTAACAAAGAAAAAAAAATGCTTGATAATTCGGAGCTTCTGTAATGAATGGCAGGAGAAAAATATACTGGGGAAAAAAATCAAATGTAAAATAGAAAGCCACTACCAAGTTCTGATATTGCCTTAAGCAGATTGTTCTACATCAAACAGTATAAGCATAGCTTTCAGATGTTTTCAGGTTTTGTTTTTATGTTATTGTTGTTGTTGTTATTATTATTATTATTATTATTATTAAAATTAGTTTGCTGCCCATCTCACCATGTATATTTCTGCACTTTAGTTGAATCTTAGAGTAGATCCACTAAAAGCAATAGAACCTAAGGCATGCTAATGAAAGCTTGTTTATAAAGGGTCTATTTTAACTAAGTCTGGATCTAACCCATTGAATTAATGTGCATTTATACAGTAGTAATTGTTGTAAACTATTTTTAAGAATTAGAAACAGGAATGTATAAACTCCTACTTTGAAAAGAATGACAGAAAAAAAATGTTACTGAAACAGCTACATTTCAGCTTATATGATTTTGCTTAGTTCCTCCATTGCTACCCATTCCTTGTTCCTCACCCTCAATAAACTTGATTGCTTGATGTAGGGCTATAAAAGTCTGGAGTATCAAAGTATCAAAGACTGAGATCCTTCTGCACCATCGTTGAAAAGAAGATATCACTTTGAAGAACCCATCTGAGAGATTTGCCCTGAAATAGAGACCTCTTACAGTCCTACACCTGAGGCATTAAAAAGGGTCTAAAACAGGGGTGTCAAACTGGTGGCCGGTGGGGCGGATGCATCATGCACAGGCCATGCCCACCCCAGCTCTGCGAAGTGAAAAAATGTGATATATCACATGATGCCAACATGATGCTGTGAATTTGACACCTGTGGTCTGAAACATAGATTCATGTTAAAATCCCAGGTTGAATTGCATGTTTCAATGAATTCCTAAATGAAAGGAACCCGATGCAACATCTATGCAATACAGAGTTAAATATAGCACATTTCTGCAATGTGAATGCAAAGTTATTTGGGTGCAGTTGTTTACAGAATAACAGCTAGTGAATATGACAAGTGCAAATGCACTATTATGGTAAGACATTATAACGAAAAAAAATAACAAATTTAATTGGTTCCACAATGAGTGAAGTTCTGAAATCAAGTTTCACAAATTCAGGATTGCAACAAATCTTAAGATCGACCTAGCTATGATAATGCTTAGGCCTCATACAATTTGCAAAAAATGACAAAATACAGCTTTTACAAGAACCTGCATCAAGATGATAATACTACTGTCCCCATTGTTCTACTTTGGTATAAGCAGAAGTTTAGGATTTAATTTGAAGCTATGCCGTACAAGATTATGTAGTACTTCATCCACAAGGCCAACCTGGAAGCATACAGTCCTGAGCCATGCAGCCCATTTTACCAGGCACTGCTTTTTTTCAACTCTTATGTTGGCAGACAAGTAGAGCAGTTGGAAATTTATGCCTTCCAGATGTTCAACCATAACTACCTGTATAAGCAGTGATATGAAATGCTGAAAGTGGCAGTTCAGCAACACTTTGAAAAATACAGATTTCTATTATGATTTACAAAGCACAGCTAGGGCAAGTAGATTTTCTAGAATAAGGGAGGAAACAAGAATATTAAAGGTTTTTTGTATCACATATCAAATTTCCTTGTCCCACACCACTTCATCCTATACTAGCTATACAGCATTGTAAATATAGTTATTTCAGTTTAACAGACTGAAAACGGGAGCAACAGCTAGTACAGTACATTTCTGTTTAATTAAGGTTGTGGGTATCTGGAGTTTTCTATAGTAATATCAAAATACGAAGCACAATTGAAAAACAGATTTTCATCAGCCTGAATTAATTACAGTATCTCACACCATTTTTTTATAATTAAATATGTCTTTAAATATCAGCATGTATATACACATTGATCCCTTTATCATTTTAACAAAATGAATTTAGACTGTGTGTATCTATAAATGGTTCCAAATTTGACAGTGGAAGAATCTTGGCAAAATATTCTATTGGATCTTATATTGGTGGTTTTGATCCTAATTGGCATCATTCTAGAATCAAGAATTAAGAATCTGTGGTCCTTCTGGGATTATAAAAACACAACTCCCAGCAACTGAGTGGACAGTAATGAGGGATGCTGAGAGATGTAGTTCAGCAAGATCTTGGAAGCTATTTTGTAAAAAGTAAATGCTAGGTTGCTAACCTAGGTATCTAACACTGAATGCCAGAAAAACAATATAGGAGCAGGACAGGTGTCAGTGGTGAGTTCTGACTAGGCACTGAAGCTTCAGTAGCTATGTGGTATTCAGCAGCATGTGGTATTCTTACCACATGCTGACCACAGGTCTAATGGAAGATGTGGATAAGGATAAATCAAGTGTTTGCTTGCATATAAATATGTTGAGTGACCTTAGGAACCCAGTAATGAACTCTCACACTGCTTCAAAAGTTAATGATGTCCTGGATTTCACTGGATTTAATTTTGTTTTCCAAGCCACCCATATCTTAGAATAATGCAAGATATTGTGAACCCTTGCCTTAAAAATCTATTGTAATTTTTAAAATTATTATTTGTATTCAATTTGGGGAATGGGAAGAGTGCAAGCTTTGTTCTTATTTAATTATGCTTGACTCATATCATAGGATTATCAGAGCCCTAGATATTGCTATGAATCTGTTTTAAACTGCTGTTATAAAGTTCAATTCTTATGAATCTGAGGTGGTTTTTATGGTATAAAATGGTATCTAATTTTAAAAACAACTTGCCATTATTTAATATCCTTTCAATCAAAGCCCATTTACATAATTCCTTTTATTTTTATTTGGTTTTTTCCCCCATTCAGATGAAATAGCTTTCAAGAATGAGCACTTTTAAAGATCAGCATTCTCATATTTTAAGACACAGCAAGAGATCGATGTATGAAACTAGTTGGCAATATTTTAAGTGGCACACTACTTTTCTAGGAACAGCACACACATACACAACAAAAACAAAACACCCTGAAAACTGAACCCTAAACAAACAATCCTCACACATTTTTGTAGCAACCAGCCCCAAGACGTAAAAATTAAATTTCAATTTCATTTGTGGAATTATCAGTAAAGATGAGTGTAGCCACACCACGCCATTTGATCTTAATATTTCAGGTGCAGAAATAAACTGGAAGAAAAAAGAATGAAAATATTGTTAATCTCCTATATGTCTGTTAGTTGGAGAAATTAGGCACATGCACAATAACATATTTTTTAGTAACAGAGAAATAAAATAGTCATTTGCATTCTCCATATTTAAAATAAATGTCTTAAATTGGGAACTACCTCATTCAATAAATCCCAAACATTTTACTAAAAGTGAGAGCCATGACTCGCCTCTGCTTCATGATTCATACCCCCAAAATGGTGCTTGTTTTTTATCTATAGATTTAATATACTTAGAAAATTCTATTTCTACAATAAATCCTGGAGATTTATATCCCAATCACTATTTTAAAAAATAAACAAATGAATAAATTTCAGAGAATCAGTGTAAGTTCTTTCTTTCTTTCTCTCTTTCTTTCTTTCTTTCTTTCTTTCTCTCTTTCTTTCTTTACACTTTATTAAACTTTTATTACATTAAAAACATAAAAAATTATTTCACTCAACAACAGTTAATTGTGGTGTTTTTCTTGTGACAATAATTCGTGCATTATTTACAAAAATTAAATTGTGCATATTTACATTCTTATTTTATCTATTACTTATACTTAATAACTATCTATCTTCAATCTAGCTACCTTCTATCCAGTTATACCACTGTTCCCACACATTGTAAAATATCGATGTCTCTTTATCTTTTAAACTCAGCGTTAATTTTGTCCATTTCTGTGCAATTCATGACCTTTTGTATGACCAGTTTCTATGTGGGTCTACATGGCTGTTTCCAACATTGAGCATAGGCAATCCTGGCAGCGGTTAATATGTGTAGTACTAGATATTTTGTGCCCTTCACACACACACATATATATTTTTGAAGATCCCCAATAGGAAGAATTCCGGTTCTAAGTCTAATTGTTTGTTAGTAATTTCCTGTAGCCAATCTTTAATTTTTAGTCAATATTTTCGAGCCTCAGGACAGGACCACCACATATGGTAGTATGTTCCCTCTTTCTTTTTACTCCCTTATGAGTCCAACATAAGGGACACATTTTAGGGTACATTTTCGCTAATCTCGAAGGGGGTAAGTCCCACCTATAGAACATTTTATATCCATTTTCTTCATATACTGCTGATTTTGTTAGTTTATGGCTTCTGTTCCATATGTTTTCCCAATCTGATAGTTTTATGTTGTGACCCCATGCAATCATGCATCCTTTCACTACTTCTTCCTCCAGTTCTACTTCCAGAGGGTATTTGTAAATTTTAGTAATATTTTTTTTGTCTGGTCCTAATAAAATTTTGTCTAGTTGTTTTGGTTTAAGATATATTCCATAATCTTTTATATCTTGTTTATATAAGTTTTGTAATTGGAGATAAGCCCACCAGTCAACTCGTAGCCCTTGTTCTTGGAGGTCCTGTATTATTTTTAACTTTCCATGGTTATCTAATAGGTCTTTATATTTTAACATTTTGTTCAAATCTAAATTGTTTGGGTAGATTATCGCTTCCATTGTGGATAGCCAAGTTGGGATTTTTATGTAGTGTTTCTTTTTAACTTTAATCCAATTATTTATTAGCGAATCTCTAATCAGGTGTCTGTGAAAGTATTGTTGTTTTGTAGATCCTGTTTCCCACAGAAAGGCATGCCATCCTCTCTGCAGGTCATGACTTTCTATAGTTAGTATTCTTTCTTTCTTTTTTTCTTTCTTTCTTTTCTTTCTTTCTTTCTTTCTTTCTTTCTTTCTTTCTTTCTTTCTTTCTTTCTTTCTTGACTTGTTTGGACTTCGTGCACTGAATAATGTGCTTTGAATTGTTAGCGAGCTAACAATTTAGGCTCTTTTTAAATCAAGAAGTTAGTTCAGTATTTCCACTTATTCCATATTATCAATATTCAGCCAAATGAGAAATGGAGGTAACTTGCTCCAAAACTGTCATGTCTTCACATTAAATGATTTGACTTTCACAATGCAAAAGAAAAAGAAAATTGGTCATTAAAGATGTTCAGAGCAAATCAGCTAATTAATCCACTCTGCTGAAATGCTGAAATTGATATAACAGAGTGCCATTTTCTTCTAATTAAAATAATGAATATAAAAACTGCTCAGCATAGCAGATCAGTACAGGTAGTGTTCAACTTACAATCATAACTGAATCCAAAATATTTGTTGCTAAGCAAAAGAGTTGTTAAGTGAGTTTTGCCCCATTTTACAACCTTCTTGCCACAGTTGTTAAGTGGATCATTGCAGTTGTTAAGTTAGTAACACTGTTGTTAAATGAATCTGGCTACCCTATTGATTTTGCTTGTCAGACGATGGGAAAAGGTGTTTGCATGATCCCGGGACACAGCAACCATCATAAGTATGAGTCAGTTGCCAAATGTCTGACTTTTGATCACATGACCATGGGGCTGCTGCAATGGTCATAAGTGTGAAAAACAGTCGTAAGTCACTTTTTTCAGCGCCATTGTAACTTTGAAAGGTCACTAAACAAACTTGTAAATTGAGGACTATGGTACCTGTGAGTTAAGGTACAAGTAGACTTTGCCAACCTGTTTTCATACGAGACGTCAACAGACACATTTAATATATTATATGAAGCAGGTCCTCGCTAGCCAGCGATACCTCTGATGATGATGAAATCTTAACATCCTTTAGCCATCCAGTACAGTGGTCATGCTAATCATAACGACTAGTCTCTATTTTACAGCATTCAGCTGATGTAATACCTGATCATGCTGTGACAGGGTTGACAGGGACTTTGTTGGTGACTTTAAGAAAACCAAGATTAGACTACTTTATACAAGTGTTTTCCACCTTGCTAATCATAAAAATGTTTTTCCCTTTAAAGTGGGTTTTCTTTAGAAATGGTTTACCATTGTTGTCTTCTGGGGTTTTTAAAAAAACTGTCTAGAGTCCTTTTACCAGCCCTTAGTCCTTTTAAATTCCCAGTCCACACCAGTCGCCATGTGCTGCCATGTGCAGAGATATTTTCGGTTCAGCAAAATAAGCAGTTACAGCAAAGGTACTTTTAAAATCAAGCTGTTTTTTAACAGAAACACAATCTTTTGTATTTCTCTTTATAAAAGTGGGGAAGGAGACAAATCCCAAGAAAATTTGTAAATGCTCTGATCAGTCATTTATTCTGTTGACTGATCATTATAAAATGAAATGAAGTCAGTCAAAATGAACATTTCTGTTACTCACTTATAATTATGATAAGAATGATTGCACATAATACACCCAGTATAATCATCATCTAGAAAGCGAAAAGAAAACAAAATAATTAACCTCAAAGTTGCTATTAAAAGGTAACTTAACTTTTTTTTTAATGGAGAGACTACAGGTGCGCCCTGTATATTATGACTAGAATATTTAGAAGGGGTGATTTAATCTTAAAAAAAGATTGATTAAATCAGCCCCTTGGGGTGATTTTTAAAGCTGAAACTTCAGATGAATTCAAGGTGTCAAATTGTATTAAAGTGTTTCTGAATTACTTTGGAGAGGTAATTCAAAAATTCATTGAAGGTAGACAGCTGTGGAAAAATACAGAACCCATTGTTGATGTAGCAAGAAAAGAAAAATGGTAGGAAAATAAGTCTGAATTAACAATGAAAAAAATGATGCCCCTCAAACTTCAATGAATGAGATAGGATGGTTGAATAATAGAAGCCAAATCTGCAGCAGCTATAGCTATACAATACAAAGGAGTGCTAAAGTTCCTTTGTATAGTTCTAAAAAGAAAATGAGGTTGCCCTTCAATTCAATGGGAAGTGGAACACCTTATTTTCTGTATCATGGTACCACTTTGCTGTGTTTACTGGAATTGAAGCACTGCAGCACTGTTCACCCAGCTGTAGGTGCTGTTGTTCTCAGGTGGGTTTTTATAGTAGAAAGAATGTGTATAGAGAAAAAACAATAATGTTAGAAAATTATTTTTGTACGAAGAAACCTGGAAGCAACTCCTTGTATGAAAGAAAAAGAAACATAATGTTTGTTCTGAGTGTATAACATTATGCTAGATAAGCCTAAATTATCTACATTAGTTTATTTAGAGATTAGACATAGCCTGATGTATCTTTCAGTATTGATGAGAGAAAAATATAGTGAAAAAAGAACCAGTAACTGGAAGTGATTAGAATATCCATCTAATCAATAAGAGGCATATAACATGCAGATATGCAAAATAAAACTAGGAAAGGGGGTAGAAATACAGAATTTCTTCGCTAACTTTTCCTACATCTGCCATCATTTTGTAAGAAATAAACTATCTAATTTACACGTAAGGTGTAATTACAATACTTTCAATAAACTGTTCTTCTTTATTTGTATACTATTATAATCTCAACTCATACATTTTTACCAAATTCCAAAATTCCTGATCAGGAGTATATACATTTTCATTTTAATTGACTAACACAATGCGTTTATTTATTTATTTATTTATTTATTTATTTATTTATTTATTTATTTATTTATTTGTCCAATTTATATGCCGCCCTTCTCCGTAGACTCAGGGTGGCTTACAATGCATTATAGCAATAGCCTGCATACTTTTTTGTATATACCTGCTTATTAGGCTTTCGGCCCCCCTCTAAGCGGTGTTGTTCTATACAAAGTTGGCTTATTGCCCCCACAATCCGGGTCCTCAATTTACTACCTTGAAAGGATGGAAGGCTGAGTCAACCTTGAGCCTGGTGAGATTCAAACTTGCATTAATTGCAGGCAGCTGGCAGCTAAGTGCTAGCACTTAACAGCACTTTAGTCCGCTGCACCACCGAGGCTCAATTTAGGTTAATGTTTGCCCTTATTTCTCAGAATAATATAAGAATATTTCTTATTTCTTAGTTTGGACTAAGATCACATTGTATCATATGGTAGACAAGTATACCTTACAGTTTTTCCACCAGTATTTCCTCTTCAGCTTAGCTGCACTGGTTTCAAATTGTGAGGCCCCTGCTTGCAAAGCATCTGCTCGGTTATCAAGTTCTGAGAGCTTGTGATCTCTTTCTAGTACTTTGTCTACGTTGACCCGCATGATGTCCACCACCTGAAAATGGCAAAGTATTTAGGAAGCCTATTTATAAAGTATTGAAGTAGAATCACTTTTTCAACATCGGATGAAGGAAGGAAGGATAATTCTAAGATAAAACACAACCTGTTTACTGAAAAAAAGTATACAAGGCAACTTTATTTGAAATTTCAAAAGTTGTCATAGGTTTATATTGAACAAAGTCTACCGGTGCCTTTTCTAAGATATCTTCTAGATGCAGACATTAAAAGTATGCCAAAAGAGGTGATACTGTGTTTGTTGGCATTGTCTAATCTGTGCAGGGTCCAAATGCTAAGAATTAATTATAGTCAGTATGTGATTAGAGAGATTTCAGGAACCAGGAGCTCAAGGAGCAGGAACTTCAAATACATGGTAGGAAGACACCTTCCCATTGCCCCTTTGTTAATTTATTATCAGTAAGGAGGTAAGAATTGGACTACTGAACAGAGGAAATGATCACATTATTTTAGAGCACTTTTTATATTAAATTAAGAACATTTTCTGAATGGAAAAAGAAAAGATTGTTAAACAATTACTTTTGTAGTAAGACTGGAAAGTATATGGAAATTGGGTCTTATAAAGTAATGAGGCCATTTCACATTTTGTTCAATAAGTGAAATAATCTGAGATTCTACTTAAATCTTGAGAAGATGAGAAGGTCAAGTTTAAACCAAGAAATTATTTTCTAAGTGAGAGTAAAATGTGCTCAGTTTTAAAAATGGCATCTTCCCATAATGATTTTCCCTCTGAAGAAAAACTTAATATTATGTTGAAATAAGTAGCCAATTGGATTTTCAGATTTCCATAGTAAAACATTGTGGAAGGAATATGAGATAATTATTGTTTTGAAATCAATCAAGCTGATGATAAGAATTCATAGAAACATTGCCTTGTGAAAAACACCAGACTACTTGATCTGAGCTGATGTTACTATAAAGGATTACATTGAATATTTGCAGGGATCTAAAAATATTTTCCCCTAAATAGACTAAGCAGATCCAATTTTTCCATAGCCACTTCACTTCCTATGTCTGTTTAGCATTGTTTTTCCAGTGTCCTTTACTATATAATACAGCTTTGCAAAACCAGTTGGAAGGATACTTTGTAAATGATTTTGCACGGGTGTCCTAAATTCTGGACAATTGAAGATCCTTGTAGGCAACACAATTTTCAAATCACACAGCAAATCATGCTTGACTATATTAATTGTAACATTTCTTAATGTGCTAACAATGCCTTATTTATATAGACTGTTTTTGCTGAAGGCTCTTACAGGTAATTAATGTAACATCTCTTTACAATGTGTTTGAATACATGCAGCACTAGATTCTGTACGTGAGTGTGTAGTGCCATCTAAAGGATGGGTTTAGTAGCATTTATTTTATTTATTTATTTATTTATATTTATATTAAAATTTATATACTGCCCTTCTCCCGAAGGACTCAGGGTAGTGAACAGCCAAAAATAAAAAACATAGAATACAAAGTTTAAAATCAATTTAAAAATATATTAAACAATTTGGCCCAACAATTAAAATACCCCATTTAAAATTCAAATTAAAATTAAACAATTGGAGAGTTAGGCCAGCCTGGCTTGTTGAAATAAAAAAGTGTTGAGGGCCCAGCAGAAAGTACGTAAATCCGGAATCGTCCGTATCTCCGGGGGGAGCTCGTTCCAGAGGGCAGGTGCTCCCACAGAAAAAGCTCTCCCCCTGGGGGCCGCCGGTCGACATTGTTTGGCCGACGGCACCCCGAGGAGCCCCTCTCTGTGGGAGTGTACTGGCCGGTGGGAGGCTCTTGGTGGCAGAAGGCGGTCTCGTAAATATCCAGGTCCTCATTGCATTGAGACTACCATGACTATTTATTTCTGGGTTCATGCATTGTGATAAACCATGATTAGTGGTTGTTAACTATGATTAGTGAACTACTGCAATTTAATTGAGCTGACACTATAGTAAACCATAAACCATGATTTCTTAACTGCAGTGGCTCGGGTTATCACAATGTATTACCTCAGACTTGAGGGAAAAAATTGCTTTATATGATGCACTAAACTAGCCAGGGATTCAACCAAATAATACACAATTATTCTGTACTTTTTCAATCTCCAAATATTTGTTTCAAGGACACTATAGTGTCCAAAATCACTTAAGTATTTTTCAGAAAATCCACTGCAAAAAAAGTTTCTTTGTGTTTCTGATTGATCATGGAGCATGCAATAAACAGTGGCAGGATATTTCTGTGTTCCCACTTCTTGATAGTGCCAATGAGTCAGCTGTTTAGAGCATTTTCCTGTACCATAGAGAATTTTCTCTAAGGAAATCAGTAGATTTATCTGTACCTTGGGTCTTAAAGTCTCTCTTCTTTTAATTGCACAGATCATATTTACTATGTGGAACTCCTTGAGCATTAATGAATTGGTGTTTTTATTTCTACATTATTAGCTTTATATACATATTGAGTATTTTGCTGCAGTTATTTTTAAGTTCCAGAATGTATATGTTTAACAATTATTATTTGACCATAAAACCATAAACATAACCATGTTTCTGTTTGTATAAACTGTGGCCTGATTCACTTCCATGTTTTATCTCTCCCTATGTTCCAAATTTAAAAATAATAACATCTACAAATATGTCTTGGGTGAAGCTCACCTCATTCACTTGAGCCTGCGTTTGCTGCAGTCTCCGATTGCTGATCATGTTGCTCTGAGGGGGAACTCCTGGACTGGTAGCAGAACTGACACCTTGGAAAGGAATTGGAGTTGACCTAAAGTAGAAATCAGCCGATATTACACCTTTAAGAGAGATATCTTTTTTTGTTGTTCTAGCTTCTTTAATAGTTTCCAGTTTTGAAACCCATCTTGTATAGTAATGTCACACTCTTCTCTAAAGCTTATGTCCATTTTCTTCTCCTGCCCTGCTTTCAAATCCATTGTGAGAATTGTCCTGCTGCAAAACTGTGGGGAAAAAAAGTGTATGGAGAGGAAGCAACTGGGAGGCTAGTATTGAGCAGCAAGCCTGGGTAACTTGTATCCCCAAGGCCCAGCTTTACAATCAGGTCTTGTGTTTAGTTATCTATGGAGCAATGGCCCTGGAAACTACTAGTTTTTCAGATAACCATAGTCACATTCCTGTCACTACTCTAGGGTCAGTACTGTGCCACACCTTCCATTCAGATAGATGTTCCCTATCTCCCATTATACTGTATCTCCCCACAGCCATCTCTCAGCCTCATTTTCATAATGTATACAGAGAAGATGGCCAAAATGGCCACTGTCCTACAGTGGCTGCTGAACACAAATGAGTTCCTTTGCAGGATCAGCAACCTGTTCCTTTTCCATTCCATTCCATGGTCCCTTTCACTATCAGTACATGGTAAATGTAATAAATTCTTAGTACAATCTTCTTCCTCTCTTCTCTCTCTCAAAGGCAGCATTTTATAAGGGAATGTACAGGTAGTCATCGACTTAGGATCACAATTGAGCCCAACATTTTTGTTGCTAAGTGAGACACTTATTAAGTGAATTTTCCTCATTTTACAACTTTTCTTGCCACAGTTGTTAAGTAAATCATTGCAGTTGATAAGTTAGTAACTTGGTTGTTAAGTGAATATGGCTTTCCCATTCATTTGGCCTGTCAGAAGGTCACAAAAGGGGATCACATGACCCTGGGACACCACAATGGTCATAAATATGAACCAGATGCAAAGCATCTGAATTTTGATCATATATAGTCATGGGAATGCTGCAAAGGTCGTAACTGTAAAAAACAGTCATAAGTCACTTTTTTCAGTGAGAGAAATGCTCCTTGGTATCAGGCTTTTAGACTTTTTAAATGCTAAGCAACATTAAGTCAACAAGGAACTGTAGGGTGTGGCAGACACAGAAGGATTAATCAGGAAAGAAAATTAACACAGAAAAGCATAGAAAGCTACTTCAGATGAATGAAATCATTACTCATCTAGTTTATATTGTCAGCATTAACAGGTAGAAAATTTCCAAGGTTTCATGTAGGAAGTCTTTTCAATTCTACCTAGAGATCTTGAGAATTGAATTTGGAATGCTAAGCATGCAATATATATATATCCTTTGCTGTTATGATCGTTCACTCAAGATTTATTAAGTAGCACTGGCAATCCCTAAATTATATGGATGCATCAAGGAAATAACAGAATGCATGTTTATTGAATATCCATATGTCAGAATATATCATATCAGAATTAGATATGATATATTCTAACCAGATTTTATTTGTAATCAAACTGACACTAATACAGTTAAAAGATAATTGGTGGTGTATGGGAGTGGAATATATAGCAAAACATAGAATTCACATATATTCCAGTAAAATATATTGTTCACATAGTCCATGGTTTAATACGTTGTGTGAATCCAGAATACTAAGTTTTAATAACTAACCATGATTAAGCAAATGATAACAGTGTAATGTGTGAACAAAGACAAAGAATATTATATTGATCATCCTGAACACTTTAGAAGGAATTCAGTAAACATGTGACAAAATCAATTCCCCTATTAAAAACCATATAATGATCAAGTTTGAATTGTTCAGTGGAAAAGGATAAAATTGTCTGCAGAATTTGTGTAATGAAGTCTGTAACACTATCACTTAAAAATACCATCCTGTAAAGCAAAGGTGTAGATATAAGCAGCAAATATATTTACACCAAAGTCTTGTGAGCCACACATTTTGCATGGCATGGAAAAAGTGTAAATTTATGATAAACTCCTATCTCTTCTTTAAAAAAATATTCACACAATTAACCCTTGGATGGCCAATGATCTTAAGAAAAACAAAGGGAAATACAAGTCAAACCAAATCATTGTAATAATTGTACTTCATAAAATTAATTACCGGTACATACATAATTTTAAGAGACAATGCTGAGGAAGGATGCTTGCAAATCTACCTTCCAGTAGATTAGGTTCCATTTGTGCATCTCTTTTCCCAAGTCAAAGAAGACATTTATATTCCAGCCAACTGATTCTTTTAAAAATTAATGTACTGCTTGCTTCAACCATTTTTCACATTTCCTCCAATTTTCAATTTATCAGATAAATGTATCATTTTTCTCATGACTGCATTTATAGTTCTTAAATCTACACCCCTGGGAATGATAAGGCAAGGGTGTGACTGGTATTGGCATTCAAAAAATATATAAAAGAACGTGTAACTGTGTAAAATGAATGACAGATTCTTTATGGTCCTTCATATGTTCGCTTTCATGCAGAGATGTCTGCAGGATATGGACAAAAATGTGAAGATTGGTAGCCATGAAGGCCGATTAAAGCTCTGCACATTTACATTATGCATGCAATGCACATAAAAAACAGGCAAAGACATTTGACTTTTTTGATTAATACCAGGCAGACATCCCTGTTCCCAGCATTTCTTATTACTGACCATGCAGACTGATGTTGCTGGGAGGAACAATTCAGAAACACCTAGAGACTAGAAACTTACCAACTACCCTCCTTCAATGACTATGTAAAAAATAAAGTAAACCTCCATTAGTCTAAGTTCATCATCTCTTGCAAAATGGTTAATAAACGTAAACAATACATATGATGAATAATTCATCATTTATTACAAGGAATTAAAAGGATTATTTTCTGTGAAGAAACTATAGGGAATGGCTTTGATGCTGCTATGATCAGGCCAATTGCAGAAGTTGAAAACCTAGGCACCCCACTTCACTAAATCAGATGTCATTGTTATCCAAGAGCAATAAGGTAATATAACATAAGTCCTTCACATAACAGAAAAGTAGAATACTAGTAATGAATATTTGCATTCAGTTAGTGATTCATTGCTTGGAATGCACTCATAGCACAGTTTTTGTGTATGATTATAACCCACGATGCCACCAAGTGAGACTGGAGTGATGTGGCACATTGTGAATTGTGTTCTAGCTTACCTATCTTAGTTACTTACACAGCAGAGATATTTTCTAAACAGTTCTTTGATGTTAACATTTCCAGATGGTTTTGACTTTAAAAAGTCCTAAAGGTTCTGTTTACTTCTTTCCTTGACTTAAAAAAAATGGTTTACAATGAACCAGGCATTTGATGCTGGAGAATTTGCTGTTTAGCACATCCAGCCCATGAAGGACTACACATGATTAATGGGTATGGAATACAAATTGATGATTGGGGTTGATGATGGGGTAGAGGACTAAATAGATACATAGACAGATAGACATCAACTGAGCTGAGTAGGGGAGTGGAATATCACAGAGGAAAGTTTATCTAGCTGGAATAATAAATAGAAGAACTAAATCTAATAAATAGAAATGCTGTTATGTCCCATTGTTATTCATATTAAAGATCCAGTATATCAATAAAATAGTGCTCAGTACAAAAAATATAGGTAGTCTTTGTTTAGTGAATTGCCTTGTATAGTGATGATAAAGTAACTTTATGACCAATACCCACATTTATGATCGTCTGTAAAGGAAAGGAAAGCTAAAGTAAGATCAAAAACACCATCACAGTTTCATTTAGCAACTGCTTCATTTAATAACTGAGGTGCTCGTTCTAAATGTGGAACCACTAAATGAGTACACAGAGTAAGCAATTGGAGACTAGTGGTTCAGGTGTGAAGACTTAGCTTTCTGGAGAAGGATCTAATGGCGGGAAAGGTAAAAGGAGAAACAAGAAGAGGATGACCAGTAACAAGGCAATGAATGCACTATTGGTACATCTGAAAGACCAGGTTAGGGAAATTGTTAAGGAGAAAATTTATCTATGTCAACAATGACTTGTTGGCACATAATCAATCATGATTTCCTGAAGTTTCATTTTGGTTTTTATATGAAGACCATCTGCAGTAGAGTAATAGTTTAGCTGGAGTAGAATAGTGAGTGCTGTTGAAAACCACTGATTTAAAATAGTTAATATATTAAACCACTGATTTAACATATTAAAGGAGTACTATTTTAGTACTGGTGGTAGTAGTAACAACAATACATACAATAAATCATTAGGATGCTTACTTAGGAATATACACTGTTTCATAAACCTGGCATTGGGTACAGACATTTGAAGCTACAGGATCAGTAGCATATTTTTGTGTTGAATTAATATGGTCATGTTGGAATACAGACAAAACAAGTTAAATCTAGCTGAAATGTTAGCAGAGTTTATGTAATTCTACAGCAGGAAATGAGTGCCTTAATCACTACAGAACACTCACACAAACAAAAGTATTTGACGTCATCCTGTCTTTTTACATACACAGAGCTAGGCAACAACATCAATAGCAGGAACTGCAGAACAAGTTCATAACTGTCGGAAAGTTACAGGAGATTACATTAAACCCAGCAGTACATCTGGAAAAGACAGATGTACAATTAAAACACTTTGCTCAGAGATTCAAAGATGAAACAAATATAAATAGACTTCCAAGCCTCTAGTTATTCAGAAAGCTACTGTAAGGGAAGAAATATACTAACTGTTATTTACGTTTGGTTTCCTGGATCGATGGAATGAGTCTTCCAGTCACATGGAATTAAATGCTTGCTTGGCTACCTGAACACCATAATAATGAACCTACATAACATGTATTGTGAAGCTACTAAAGACACTGTATGAAACATGCTAAGCAACCCAATGCATACTGTATTTACAAAGTAGGGAATTACAGTGCAATGACTGCATGCTTTGCATTCAGGTGAAACAATATTGAACATACCCTTTTTACTGGCATAGATTAAATAGGGCTAGAACAATTGGCTCTTCAGATTTAAATATAAATATTTACTATCTGCTGCTACTTTTAGCTCCTGAGTGGTGAAAACTAGCTTGTGTAAACATATGCACAAAAGCAATTAACATTGTGAAATATATGCCCAAATGTGAGGTTTCTTTGTATATGCTATCAATTCCCTGCCAAGTAATTGATTTGTCAGTTATTTTCCAAACACAAAAAAAGATTAATCTAAAGGCCTGTCTACCTGAGAGATCACCTAATTTGTATGAAACTGACCAGGTCATAAGAATAGCATGAAAAGTTCTCATATTGATGCCTGCAATTTCATAAGCCAAATTATCAGACAAGTGTGTAAGACATTTTCCTTTTTATTCTTAGTTGTCTATTTTACTGTATCTGCCTCAAGAACACTCAGGAACATCCTCAGGCATGACTTTTAAATTGCATTGGTTACTTTTGTTGTGATTAATATTTTTAAATTGTAAATTATATTCTTGTCATAATAAGGTGGGTTATAAATAAAAATATTATACACAATTGTTAAATTGTATCTCCTAAAACATATTTAATAATTACTGAATAGTAGTAGTGCTAAAAAGTGCTCTATTTTATCTTTTAAACATTTCAATAACTACTACAATGACTATTTTGTTCAATAATATATCTTCTTTCAAAATGTCTGTCTTTGTCTGTCTATCTGTCTCTGTCTGTCTGTCTGTCTGTCTGTCTGTCTGTCCGTCTATCTATCTATCTATCTATCTATCTATCTATCTATCTATCTATTCATAACTAATTAAAATCTAATCAACTGAAGAGCTTGGAGCAGTCTAAGTATTAGGCTTTTGATTCACATTTGCTCACTTTCATATTATTTAGGTAAAATATTAGAAACATAATATTACAATTTATAACAGGTTCAGAATACAAGACATACATTCCCAGAATATTAATTTGTGGCTTATTCTGCACTTGATTTTTTTAAGTGGAGTCCCATGAATCTATACAAAAGGAATAGGTAATGCAAATACAAAAGTTTGAATTCATCTATAATTTTTCCAACTCTCTAAAGAGAAACCAGAAGTCTGGAGTTATATCATTAAATGCTCAGATCAAAAGAATGTTGAGATTAGCTCAATAAAGATCTGTCTTTCTACATATTCTAACTGTAAAATGCTACAGTAGGTGAAGTTTTCACTGAAGAATAAAATAAATACAATAGCTACAAATACTAAAATAAACCAAGTAACTGCCCACTGTTAATCAGAACAAGACTCTATCTAATTTCTGATCTGAAAGTTGGTGTTTCTCCAAGAGTAATGCCAATTATGGTCCTTTATTAAAAAGACTAGGGAAGGATTAAAAAAAAAACTATAGATGGAAAGAATGTATTTTACCACTGAACCTCTTTACTGGGGATGGGTTGATTACCTCAAGGCCATTGGGCCAGATATCTGCATAATAAAGTGTCTTCTGATTGATTGATTGATTGATTGATTGATTGATTGATTTACTTCCTTTAAATTCACAAGAGGCAAGTGAAAAATGATTTTGTACACCATGTGATGTCAATCTGATTGAGTGCTGAAAATGAATCATTCTGCAAGACATCAAATTAGATATTCTAGATTTTGAGTGTCCCTAGTGCAATCTAATATGAGCTTGCTCATTTATTGATGGACTTTCTGGTAGAGACCTATTTATTACTTTCTTCTCTTTCACGTGGTTATCTGTTCCACAGAAACCCTTTCTAGTCAATACTTGTAATTCCATTTATGGGATGACGGGATGGGATAATCTGGCTATGGTATATAGGGACCCAAATAGCAACTTTTCATTACCTTCATGAACTGACTGGGTATTATGTATAAATAAATAAAATCTTTTGTGAGGAGGAAATGTACAACATTCGAAGCAAAAAATCTTAAAGGATGGAAGTCTTGAGAGGAAACCCCAAATTTCTGGGGATTTCCAGTGCTCTGCTAGAACTAGGAACACGCCCATATATAAGAAGAGTGTTTTGAGTTTTTCAGCACCATAGGTGCCGGATAGCGCCCGAGCGCCACTTTGTCAACACCCGTTCTCTCGAGCCCTCCGTCCGTTCTGAAGCTTCCTTCCCCGATTTAATCAAGATTTACTTACATTGTTTGTTGCTTGATGATTTAGTCTTGGTTCTCTCTATCAGTCGTTAGCAAAGATGGCTTTCTCACCGTGCTTCTGAAGCAAACAACCTCTTAATATTGTAGACACTGTTGCTGTGGAGGAGACATCAGCTACTGAGCATGTCTGCACTTCACTTCTCCCTTTCCCATCCGCAAAGAAATGCGAAGGCAAAGCTTTCCAGCAGTTGCAGTCCTGGGAAAAGCTTTTCAAGGAAGGTTTGGTGTACTTCTATTCTATTCTTGTTCAAACAGCAAGAGAAAGGAAAGGTTACTCTGGTGGCTTTGAAAAGAAATCTAGTTATCTAAGTGAAAGTTTCTGTGCTTTGACTCATTTTATGAGTGCAAAAGTCTTCATCAACCTTATGTAATTTCTCCCACAGTTTGTTTTTATAGGACTTTTTTCTTATTGGGATCATATTAGAGATGCCACAGGGAGTTGTCATCACAAGCTGTAAGATCCTAGTTTAAACAAAAATACAAGGTGCATACTAGAAATGGTTCTTGACTGTAACATTTCATATAAACTCATTGGTATACTCCCCCTTCTCCTTAAAGTTCTTTACACATAAATGTGAATCTGATCCAATGCTGGATTAGATTGGATCAGATCAAATCTCAGGGAGAGATTTTATATAAAATGCAATGTCTTTGTGTTGTGTGTGTGTGTTCGTGTGTGTGTGTGTGTGTGTGTGTGTGTGTGTGTGTAAAGGAGTCCGAGTCCCTGCAGATTTTACTCCACTAATCATTGCCGACTATAGGGTGGGGTGCTAATCTCTGTTTCAAGGCCATTGAATTGTCTAAAGACATTTCTGTGGACATGTGTCCAGCATGGAGTATTGTTATCTTCCCAATGAAGTGATACTTATTTATCTATTCACACTTGCATGCTTTTGAACTACTAAATTGGCAGGATCTGAGGCAATTACGGGATCTCACTCTGTCACATGGCACTCAGGTCTTGAACCTGGGCTGCCAGCTTTCCAGCCAGCAAGCACAGTGTCTTAACCACTGAGCCACCGTGCCATCTATATGTCTGTCTGTGGATGTGTATAAAACTTTTAATTTTCATACTTTTTGTATGTAGATAAATGTGTAAATATATATATGGTAGAAAATTTAGAAAAAAGAAGAGAAAAAAGAAAAAAAGCAATACATTTAGTAAAAAAAAAGGAAAAAAGACAAACAAGCAACTTATGGTCTTCTCTGTAGCAGCTACAAACAAATATCCCTCTCCCCTTTTAAAATTACATTACAAGATCATTTCTGTAATGCTCATCCTCTTGTTTACATCAGAAAATCTGGAAATCACTACTTCACTTTTTTCTATTTTCAGCAAAATGTCCATAAAAGGGTTCCAGTCTTTTATAAATGCACTTATTGTTTTCTTCCTGAACTTTGATAAACTTCCTCTGACACATTGCTATATATTTCCTTTCTTTTCTTTAAAATATATGATTTTCAATAGTAATCTGCAAGCATAGGGTGCTAGTTTTGGGGTCCCTTTATTGAGAGTTTTGGCTTGAAATAAATTTGACAGCATTTTTTATGCCACTGAAACACTGTTAATTATGTAAGTGTATATAATAAGGTATAAAACAAGAAGTTTGTATGTACTCTGTACCCAAAATTTGAAAAAGGCATCAAATTTTAAAGTGAAACCCATACAGTATGTTAAAAAATTGAAACATTGGGATTTAATTTAAAGATTAAGGGGAGGAGCAGCATCCCAGAAACATAGAATTCATTTCTCTTGAAATAGCTGAGAAATGCATATACTCTTAAGCAGCTGTGCTAATTTCAGCAGATGTTAGCCTAAAATACCTTACATGCAAGCACTCTGGTGGTACTGATTTGTGAATAAGTCTCTCTGCCTGTGGGGAAATGTCACTGCAATTATAAACAATCTGCTCAGAAGTAACTTTTAAAGGGCAATTTGCAGTACAGATGCCAGCAAATATTAAACACTTTTGCCTGATTTTTGAATCTAACAAACAATTTCAACAACAATCTGCAAATATCTTATCATTTAAAGCAATAGAGATTTTTACCATTGTGACATTTTCATGATTGGAGAATACTGTACTGTACAGCAAGGACCAACTCCCCTAAGAATGCAATGTTGTTAAAGAACTAAACTGTCATTAAGAACAAAAATACCATTTTCAGACAAGGATTGCACTTCCAGACACCTCAAGGGATATAGCACCTGTGCTCTAATGTGAAGTGTCACACATTTTATTTCCCTCAAGTAAAGCACAGGTTTCTTAAATGTGCAAAAAGAAAAAGGTGTTTCTCTAAATTTCACTGCTATCAAGCAGATTAAAATTATTCCATTATTTCCATTTCTCTGCTTTCTGTATCCAACTGTTTATGCCCTGGAGAAAAATTAAATGCTTTGTTTCATGGGTGGTTACAAAGAGACAAGTATCTTATCAAATTCAATGAAGAACCACTCTGATTACTGTGTCCAGGAGTGTGGTTTTGAAGTAGCATATGTTTAACAAGGAAACCAAATTTCAGTTTATGATAACTGCAAAGTATTATTCCAATTTCTGTGTTTTTAAAAATCCTAACATTGGGATACAAGAGCAAGGTAATTGTATTTTGTGAAATCTTATTGTAATGTTCAGCCTTATATTCTGTATTGAACTTACATAGCAGGATCTCTCCAGTTTAGTCTTTGAAATCATGAAGAAATATATCATGTACCTATTAAATTGTTGCCTGCACAAGTAGTATAGTGCATCAAATTAGGGGATGTATTATGCATTGTAGATGCATTAGCACAATCTCATCAGTGGTACATTAATCAAATAATTAAGGACATCACACTTCTTAAAGTTCTCCCTGGACACATCTCTGCCTCTCTGAAACTCAAACTTATAAAACAAGCACAAGATAGGAAGGCACATTAAAAATACCTTTATTTGTCACAACTTGATCAAGTTTCTTCCTTTTTGTCTTTCACTGTTTAATGACAATTGAAAAGACTCTTCTCACATGGATCCTTTCTTAGTTACAAAAACAGAAGGGATAAAAAGTGGATCCACATGGAACCTTATTATATTGGCATAGGATCTACTGAAAAAGCATGAGATTTACAATTATTATCTGTCATTTTAAGAAATTGAATGTGTTCTGTGTAAAACTCAAGAAGATCCAAAGGTCTCTGGAATTTCCCAACTGGAAACCTTGCACACCTCTTTTATATGCATGCCTCTCACACACACAGAATTTTATATGTACCAAACAATATCCCCAATGCATAGATGCAAATGCCCCATGTGTAATCATAGCAGTAATAAAAGTAAGACTAAAATCTAATTATATTTAGTATTATTGTTCTTCTACATATCCTGTATATCAGGTTGTAATAGCAAAGGAAGAGATTGGTAGCTGTTTGTTAGCTTTATTTGAAATCTTATCAGTTGCTGCTTCTCTATCTTATCAGAGACAGTAGAAATACACACAACACTGAAGACCTAAAACAGACAGAATTTTCTAAGGCATGGTTTTCACAACACTTTTATTTTATTATTTAGTCATTTTATTCCATTTATATTTTTATTTCATTTTATGCCATCTCATTCAATACAATACTCATTTGTAGAAATAATATCATGAAGGATTGAGATTAGTTAGATCTTGCACAAAGATGATGTGACTGGAGAATATCTGGTTCTTCCTTCCCTGTCTGCATAAAAAAACATCTGAATTTGTTCTGGATATATATTTATTAAAAATTAAGGTACAGAATCTGACCCTATGGTACTAGAGGGATTTTGCTAGACTGGGCCTTTCATATAAATGCATCTTTTTAAACAAGTTCCTTTAAAAAATGGTTAAATAAAAATGCCCATTTGCATAATTTATATTTTTTGTTCAAATAAATAATTATTGGAAATGTTTCCAAATCTAACAAATTATCAGGATGAGCCAGAACCACTTGCTGATGGCCAAAACCTGCTAGGTGAGTTTGTCAGGCGCAAATTAAATACAATTATTAAAATATGAAATGGGGAACACAGAAAGGCTAATGTGATTAGAGCAGTCTAAAGGAACTTTCTTGGAGACACAGTGACATACTGTGGAAATGAAGATCAATTGATTGACTTTCCAGAGATGAAAGGAAATATTTATACCCTTGTGCTGTATTTTACATCTGCATTTGTGTGCTTGCTACAAGAATTGGCTTTCCTTCTCCCTCACACCTATCTAGAGACAAAAAAAAATTGTGCTCTGCAATATCTGAAAGGATAAAGTTATTATTTTTTTTCATTTTGTGATCACTGTTGCTTATTTACTGAATTCAGAAGCTGCAACTTGCTGTCACATTCTCCTTCTTCTTTAGGCTCTCTAAAGTAAAGTTTTTCTTTGTTCAGGTGCATAACTTTAAAGAGATGCCTTCAGGTTAGTAGTACTTTTGTGGCTTTAATTCATAAGCTTTGTGCTTACTGCATGTAGCTTTTTTTGCAGGTAGGATTAGGAGAGCCCAATAGGTTCTACTTGTATGGAAAGAGGATCAGAGATTTCATATTATTCAGTTTATTTTATGTCCTGCTCTGTTGTGTTAGGACAGAATTCTCGGAAGGCACAGAGAGGAAATAAAGAGGAAAGCACAGGAGATGAAAAACCTTGGACAGAAAAGGATGGGCACCTCCTTAAGAAGTTTGTCAGATTACGTTTCTTTTCTGGACATTCAAGTAATATAATGTAAGGGGTTTTTTTCTTACTTTTTTTCTTTCACAAAAACAATAAACTTCTTCCTACCTGTAGTAGGAAGAAAAATAAACTAGAAAAAGCTAATTGGTCCTCTGATAGTTTAGAAACAGTATTCGAATTGTGATTTGTTGTATTGTTGTGCTGTAACTTGGGTATATTTTAAAGATTCTTTGTACAAAAGGTAAAGAAAGGAGCATAATCAGCAGTTCTTGTAAGTAATTTTAAATGTTCACCTGTTGATGAATGCATATCAAGCTGATTTTAAAGGCACAAAAATATGCACACTTGTTTTAATCAATGGTTTATTTGAACATGTTTTAATGAAGTAACTCAATTGGCTGCATTTATATAACATATTGAGCCATAAACTGCACAAATTATTGTGCAAACATAGTCATGGTATTATTTTCTG